GATGGTGATCTAATTGAAGACAGTGCGGTCTCACATTAAGGTGACAATTCTGTACTGTGCTCCGGGCTATTTGACACCATGTGCACGAACCAGTTGAGATCCACACAGCGCTTCAGGTGGCTGTGCTGTATTGTGGTTACCGTGCGCATGGCTGGTTCTTTCCAATCATATTCTATCAACGCAGACCAGGAGTTGTTTTACCCACGATGTGTCAGATACTGCAACTCCAGAAACAACTACTGCAACTCCAGAAACTACTACTGCAACTCTAGAAACTACTACTGCAACTCTAGAAACTACTACTGCAACTCTAGAAACTACTACTGCAACTCCAGAAACTACTACTGCAACTCTAGAAACTACTACTGCAACTCTAGAAACTACTACTGCAACTCTAGAAACTACTACTGCAACTCTAGAAACTACTACTGCAACTCCAGAAACTACTACTGCAACTCCAGAAACTACTACTACTGCAACTCCAGAAACTACTACTACTGCAACTCCAGAAACTACTACTCCCTCCAGAAACGGCAGCTCCTACAAAACTCCACCCTGTTTTGAACCATGTTTGTACAGTGACCTTGGGTATTTTTAAAGGCGCTTTTAGACAATAATAATAACAAATAATACATATTATTTCCCGTTAGGAAGAGTAGAGAACACAGTACCTCCATGAATGCAGGGCGAATCCCGGGCAGCGCTCTCCACAGACGACACAGGGCTGTCCTCTGTAGTTCAGCTGCACACAGTAAACACAGTCAGATGTTTCTTTAGTTTGGTTTACTTTCTTACATTCTAATATTGTGGTTTTTAATATTTTGAGTTTTACCTTTATAAGTTTAGAAAATAAACATGGATTTACAGTGAATATAAATAATACAACAGTAATAATAAATAAAAGTATTCTGATACTAATTTTTCCAAAATAATGGAAAATTGTATAACATACATTCCATGTCATGTATTCAGTATTCTGGAACGGAATACATTTTCAAAGTATTCTCCCCAACACTGTTTATAGCTATAATACATTCATCATCAGAGGCCAAAACTACAGAGCCACCGCTTTACAAAGCAGTCGGTCCAAAAGGTTCTCAATAGATTTAGTTTGAACTCAAAATAGATACAGAGTTTTTGTCTGACGTTTTGAAGAAACTAGGTAAGAGTCATCTATAAAGTTGTTGTCTTACGTAGAAAACGCGTTTGTTTGCGTAGCGCTAAGCAACAAAACTTGAAGAAAAGTGCGTACCGCGTAGAAGCTGCTCCCTGGACGTCTCCTGAAGCCGTTTAACATGACAGCGACCCGCTCTGTATGGACTCAGCCCCTGCAGACTGAGGATAAGGACAAACACCGGAGCTCTGCAGAGTCCGTTTAAGATAAATACTGCATTATTATAGATCATCCTGGAGGTGTGAAAGGACACGCCCCCCGCGGGCTGAACAGCCAATGGCGCTGCTCCTTTTCCAATCATAGGAAAACCATAGCCTGTATATAACGGACAATGAAACCAAAAAACTTTCCAGCAAATGGGTTCAAGTGCCACATTGAGGGGATGTTTCTTTGCCAACAAATTGTAATGTTTCTTTTCCCTAAATCTGGCTCGTTGGTGTTGTGTGAAAGGCTGTAAACAGTTGTGATAATGGTGATAGCCGATCCTTCTGGTTGAAATTAACATTTTATTCTAACGTTAGCAAAAAGTGTATTTGCACTGACTCAATTCACAAGAAAACAAACAATCCTTTTCCATATTTGATGTTGCTGTTGCTGTGTCAGTTACTTTTACTTTGGCAGCTAACTCATAATCAAAAATGATGTGGTTCTTTCATTTCCGACTGCCTCAAGAGAAATACAGCATTAATTTTGGTATTTTTGGCTTTTTCATTGCTCTTTAAACAACTTGTTTTCACGTTACTCAGTTCACAAAAAAACGTGTAACATAAAATAAAAAAACAACTGGTGTAGGCTCACTATAATAAACAAAGAGAAATAAATTTAAAAGCTCAATTGAAGATTGGAAATGACGATTTAATAATTGAATAACCTCTATCTGCACTCACTCTCAGTTAGGTTGGAACACAAACCAAATCCAGAACAATGGAGAACAGAACAGTGGTCTTTCTCCCCCCTGCATAAACAAAACAGTACATACATTTAATAAAACCCCACAAAATAAAAGCCTTAAACAGGAAACCGCTAACTAACATAATCTGTTTATTCACCCCAAAACGATGGCAGTGTTATGTACCTTGCTACCAACACCAGATCTACAAACACGTGGAGCAGAAACCATAAGATATGATGCATTAGTTATTAAAATTAAAGATCATTTTTGCATTAAATCATCATTTTTATCTCTATTTTGCTGTTTTTTTGGTGCCACAACTTGTCCAACGTCTCTAAACGCGTTGCCATGGTAACAACTCACATGTGGCACCTGACCTCTCCCGACCATACGCGCGGTAACAGTGACCTCTGCTGGCCAAACCGGGGACTGTACCGGCTACACTAAGCTTCAATGCTAATAGAGGTCAGTTATGGCTTATCTAGATACCAGTCTTTGGCTTCCTTGTTGAGTTTCTCCCTGTAAGCCTTCTTCTCATAAAAAATAAGTAAAAAATAAGCAGTTGACTGCTTTGGTCACGTTGTTGTTTATTCTTTGATACTGTCTTGATCCAGAGACATAGAGGAATTGACCAATCAGATGCCTTCATTTGCTTGGGAAACTCCCTTTTGCCTTAGCAACCACCTCAGCAACACATCTGCCCCCGTTACAGCACTCAGTTCACTCCTTAGGGTGGTTCTATATTAAACAAAATATTATGATAAAAAAATCATACATTTCTCAATAGTATGATAATAGTTCATGAAGAGTTCATAAAAGTGTGTATTTCTACATACAAGTTGTGTTAAAAAACCGTAATTTAATTGAAAACATTTGTTAATTGATTCAGTGTGTGCTGAGTTGACACTTTGCATGACTTGCACTACAGGGGCTGTGCTGATGCAAACAGGCCCCGGTCAGTTATCATTTCCCTGCATGTACGAAATGAAATTTGTACAATGGTATGGTAAGTAAGTAAGTAAGTAAGCTTTTATTTATATACCGCCTTTTCACTACACATCGGAGTCTCAAAGCGGTTTACAATTGTTATTTTTTTGGGAGTGCCAGTACAGGAGGCACATGCCATACCTATTGTACATATTTTTAGTGGTAGGGGAAACCGGAGCACCCGGAGGAAACCTACGCAGACATGGGGAGAACATGCAAACTCCACTCAGAAAGGCCCTGGTCCAACCGGGATTTGAACCCAGGACCTTCTTGCTGAGAGGCGAGAGTGCTATCCACTCAGCCACCGTGCTGCCCATATGACCAGGCTGAAACAGAACAGCAGGAAGAGTGTGTGGATAGGGGAGTCTGGGCGTCTCTGCTTCGACTGCTGCTCCCACGACCGGGCAACGGATGAAGCGGAAGAAAAGGGATGGATGGATTTATGGTTCTGCCTCATAAGATAAAAACCTAAAAAAACCTCTATTCCCAGGCTATATTGCTAATGAAAAAGTGGCACTGCTGGGAAAAGAATATGGGCAAAAAAAAAATAACTTTCCAGTCATAATTAAAACGTCACCTGTAGTCTGTTCATTGCTGTTCACCCATTGTCCCTTTGTTGGTTTCATGGCGCAGTGATGGGACCCGAACTCATCGCTGAAAGTATAACATTAGATAAATCCTCTTACATTTACTTTAAGGTTGGATGTGATGCAAGACAACCAGGATTTTTGTATTTTATTTACCTAAATACAGAATATAGACATTTATATATTTTTATTTCATAAAAGAACACTTCCAAATAAGTTTACATGGCACCAACTAAAACACTCTGTTCTGTTCTTACAATACTCTAAACTGATTCTTGTTACTGCATTCTGACTATGTACATTCACAAGAAAAGTGAAATAAATAATAATAATAATAAAATAGAATCATGTCAATACAATCAATAATAATATATCGAACAAACCCTGAGAAGTTACTGTTGAAATACTACTGACGTTTATATAAATAACCTCAACGTTAAACATTCCCTTTGTCTGCGGTAGAATCCTGCAGAACGAGAAGTAGCACCGTGTACTGCCCAAAAGACGTTTATATGGCTTTAGATAAATTAGTGTTTCACAAAAAATAAAAATGATAACCACAGAAAATAAACGAACCCTGATTTGACATAATCACAGAAATACAGTCGACAGTTACACGGTCGGGGCACGGGCGACAGTAGCTCAGTTGGTAGAGCATTGGCATTTGAGCCTGAAGGTCGTGGGTTCGAGTCCACCGTAAGACCTACTTCACGACTCCCACTGATTACTGCTGTCGTTGTGTCCTTGGGCAAGACACTTAACCCCACTTTGCCTGAAGCTCCAACTGAAAGATCTCAGCTCCTGTGGACTCACCACCTGCAGGAGGCTCCCAGTTCACAGAGCACCAGCCCCTCACTGAGAGGGGCTGGTGCTCTGTGAACTGGGTGCAGCTCTGACTGCCACCCCCCGACCCAGAAATGGATTAAGGGGAAGAAAATGGATGGATGGATGGAGTTACACGGTCCTCGCACGGGACGGTAGGACGTAAACATGGCGGCAGTAAACGGACTTAACAGTGTCATGTATATACGCTCATTAGGACTGATCCATTATAGTATCTCCAAACATTCTCAATAAAACAGAATGAATAAATGAAAAGGGTAAAATGACGCACATAGTTAACACAAAAGCAGACACAACATGTGATACAACAATTATAACACAATAAATAATGTTCCTGCTATGTACAGAAGTTTATATACACTATAAACATGGAGGTAATGTCATGGACGGGCTTTGCATGAGAAACTTTGGACCCAGAGAAAAAAACGAAGAATACAAAGTACAAAGCGACAGCCGACAATAAAAACAGTACCACTTTGTAGAAAATGTAGCTCAAGTATAGAGCCCCAGTGTGACACTACTGCACTGCCACGGGCAAACGGGAGACTGCAGAAGGAGTACATTTACCACAGTAGCCTCCACACACTCCTGACACTCTGCTGCCATCCTGTGGACAGTTTAATATTATGTCTCAGACTTAAATACAATAATACATGGTGTCTACAACATTTACCGGTGACTTCTGTATATCAGCCACTGCATAGTTGCCATGAGATATCCAGGAGTTGTTATCCGCCACTTTAAACCCAGTTCCTGAGAGGTTAAGCCGAAACTGCCCCTGAAACAACAGAAGGATCAGTTTTACAGTCACTGAGCATCAAATACACTACAGCCCCACCTGTGGGCAGCGGCTGGAACTGAAGCAGTCACCAGCTGTTGCAAACGGAATTTTCTGTCCTCCTCGAGTGAAGGCGAAAAGCCAATCTGTAGCTGAAGAAAACATACAAACAGCTTCAACAGAAGTTTTCTGAACACATGTTGATGCTCATTCCCAGGATATGACAGGACACCAGTTATTCATGGACATGTGTTAAGAAAAGATCAGATAAGATAGACTTTATCTGTGTTTATCTCTTTGTTCTCTCTGTGTTTGAACTGTTTGTTTCTCTGATCTGTGTCAACGGTTTTGTTAAGTCTCTGAGAAACTACAGTGATTTAGGGCAAAACAAGAATACATGGGATTGAACCAGTGGCTATATATTATTGTGTAACTATCATTCATTCATGCATTCATTTTCTACCCCTTTTTTAGTCCATTTCTGTGTCGGGGAGTGGTAATGAGAGCTGCCACCCAATGTCCCTCTGATCCTCTGCAGGTGGTGGGTTTACAGGTGGATGGTCAGCCTCGGTGTTTCAGGGGGGGCTGAACAGGTGGGCATCACTTTTAAACTAAACAATCAAGCACATTGTGTTGCATTTTCTGTATGAAAAGCACTTTATAAATAACATTTGATTAATTGATTGAATAGTGGGAGCAGTTGAAGTAGGTCCTTCAGGCCCAAAGGCTCTACCAACTGGGCCACTGTTGCACTAGCCTGGTCGTACCACACTATAGTACAAATTACATTTCATACTAAGGTCAGGATTTGCTCCATTGACTCCGTTAACAGGTGGGAGGGATTAACTCCTTTTGCAGATTGAAACAATTGGATCCGAGTTTACTGTGACGTTTGTAGTGCGCCCGAGTGAGTCGTTAGCATTTAGCATTTAGCCTAGCTTTAGCCATCTCCTTTGCCGCTAACGGAGCCCATGGGGAGTAGCGCCGCAATTTTATCCAGAAATTACATTTGCTAAACATTCCTCTTGCTCCAGTTTCAATTTCTTGATAGAACCAGACCAGATTACTTTACTATCTCCTTTTTCGCCAAACTACAACCTGCCCGTTCGACGCAAACTCTTGACATCACCCACAACTAACTACAACACCCGCCTCCCGTGCTCTCTGATTGGTCGGTCGAATTCAAGCGATTGTAATCACAGACACAGGGACCAGACCCAGACGTTACATGCAGTGAAATGATGATTGAGAGTACGGATGGATAAGGCCAGGCCACTGTTGCACTCCTATTGTGTAACTTTCAGAACAAAATAGTATGAAACTCACTGATGATAGTCATGGTGCTTATATCAAGGCGGACTTTGGAGAAGGTGGTCAGTCCAGCAGCCGTGTAATCTTTGCGACAATCACAATCTTCTCTGTTTGAACTGTTCGCTGGACAAAGCGTTGGATCTTTGAGTCTGAGAAGCACAACATTAGATTATTTCAGTCCAGGGTTTATCATAGAATTGTATATCTTCATTTACCTAAAGCCAAAGATCTCAGAGAAATTCTCCCGTTCCCCAGTTGTCAGGGAGATATACTCCTGAGGCATCTCCGTCTGCATTCCTGCACAGTAGACCTGAGAGGAGGAGGTGAGAGGTGAGGAGTCACACAGAGTGGAGAGGAATCAAACAAAACAAGACAGGACTGAAAAGAATGGGGACACAAATCACTCTCGACATTTGTTTGATCACCTGTAAATTGATAAAAAGACAAAACTAAGTGAAACCTTGAGTGCTTTTCCTTGGATGTGGAGAACGTGCTCACTGTCAGGGAGGGGTCCACTGCGGCGGCGGACGTCCAGGCAGCGCTGAGGCCAAATGCCTGAACACACACACACACAGCATGAGGCTACATCCACACACATGCTAACATCCAGAAAGACCAGTATTATGACCATAGACTGTAAGTATTCACTGTGGTCACGCCTATCTCCGCCGCGCAAACTAATGTGACATCACTTTTATCTTCTAAGGGCAGTCTCAAAATGGAGCAGCTAACGAGTGCATTCAAAAGTCCACAGCGACTAAACTAGACTGGTCCAAAAATCTATTCTCCCCTCAACATTGACAGCATCTGGAACATAGAGTTTTGGACCAAGAGCCACTTTTGGACCAAGAGCCACTTTTGGACCAAGAGCCACTTTTGGAGAAAGAACCACTTTTGGAGCAAGAACCACTTTTGGACCAAGAGCCACTTTTGGAGCAAGAACCACTTTTGGACCAAGACCCACTTTTGGACCGAGAGCCACTTTTGGACCAAGAACCACTTTTGGACCAAGAGCCACTTTTGGACCGAGAGCCACTTTTGGACCAAGAACCACTTTTGGACCGAGAGCCACTTTTGGACCGAGACCCACTTTTGGACCGAGAGCCACTTTTGGCCTTACAGACAGATGAGGTCCAGGTTCATCTTCTGCTTATCGTATCAAAATCACGGCTGAAAACGAGCAGTGACCGGGCCTCCTCTGCAGCTGCTCCTAAACTCTGGAACAGCCTCCTCTTGTCTGTTCCAAATGAAGCTTCTTTAAATGTTTTTAAATCTTTATTCAAGACTAGTTTTTTACTCTGGCCTTTGTCAACTAAGCGGCGTTGCTCTGCAGCGTTTTTTTTTATTTGAGGCACTGTTCTGTGCTGCACTTTAAGCAGAGTTTGTTGTTGCAAATGTGCTATAAAAAATCATACATTTGACATGGACAATTCTTATTCCGGGTCCGCCCCCACTGGCCCAGGGTGGTACTGCAGCTTGTAAGTGCATTTTGGATATTTTTGATCCGGGACCCGCCCACACTCTTCATGACCAGTACCATTAGAGAGGTTCTCACATGTCTGATGGTTTGTGCAGGACTTCTTCGAGTCCGGCATGACGTCTGCGGAGCATCGATGGCTTTGTTTTCCGTCTGCTTCCACACACTTCACGGTTCTCCTCATGACACCGACTCCACAGCTCACAGAACACTGCAAGTCAACACTCAGTCTATGATCCACGGTAAAAACAAACGTGCACAATGTGGAGATTATAGATAAACACTTAACACGATTCTCAACGATGAGCCATGAAGAGCAAGGATTCTCAACTTGTAGATCGAAATTATTTTTAGTGATGAGTTTACTGGGAAACTTAGTTTTTCTTTCTGACATTTAATTTATGCAGAAAAGGAGTAAAAGGAAGTAGAGAGGGACTTAATACATTTTGGGTTGTGTGTGCGCGTGCGTGTGCGTGCGTGCGTGCGTGTGTGTGTGTGTGTGTGTGTGTGTGTGTGGGTGTTTGTCTATTAGTAATTTATTTAGAAAAGAAACACAGACAATTTGATTTTATTGACTCCATTAAGAATTAAGTTGTTTGGGGCTAGTATTCTTTTCTTATTTTAAGAAATCTTAAGACCTCAAGGGCCCTTTAATGATGACAGATTAGGGCCCTTTAATGGTGACAGATTAGGGCCCTTTATGGCGACAGATTAGGGCCCTTTAATGATGACAGATTAGGGCCCTTTAATGGTGACAGATTAGGGCCCTTTATGGTGACAGATTAGGGCCCTTTAATGGTGACAGATTAGGGCCCTTTAATGATCTTACATATTGTGGTTTAAATATGTCCTTACTTGTCCCCAGCTCCCGACCCTCCATTCCTGCATGTGTCCACAGGGGGCAGTGTCACAGGGCGTGTAGCTCTCCGGGGGGGTGTCTGGGCAGCTGGACAGGGACTGGGGGCTGTATTCATAGTTGCCCTTTTCCGTATGGGCCTCACTGCAGGACACAAGGCGATGGCGATAGCCCCGCCCACAGCTCACGGAGCACTGTGGTGTAAATGACGGTGAATATAATGTTCTTAGCATGTTGTTGTCATGGTGTCTGTGCTCTCACTGACCTGAGACCAGTCCCCAGTGACCCACATGTACTCGCAGGCGTGAGGGTTGCAGCTCTCCACATGTGGCGGTTTGATTTGGTTTACACAGTACACCTCATGCACCTCCTTCCCCTGATCGTCCACACACTGTAGAGCCCGCTGACGGAGGCCGGAGCCGCAGGATTGACTGCACTACGGTCACATGATCATAGGAAGAGTGAGTAAAGTAATAGTCAGTATGAAGATAAGTGACTGTTATAATAACATCCTGCTGATAATGGGACCACTTGGGAAGAGACTCCACAAACTTTCCTTCACTAATGAGAGCCTCCTTTACAAAGACATATCATGCTGTTCTTTGACCCACATTCAATCCATAAAGAAGAGATTTGTGCTGCAGCTGCATGCTTCCGCCGCATAGTCCCCTCTCTAAATGAGAATTTATAGCCACAAGCAATTGCTGAACTTACAACAGGAATGTAGTCTAGAAACACTATAATTTAGGGCTTAGAATATTGGGTCAGAAATAGATAGATATAGAAGTAAACAGCTGACAGAAGAAAACTGTGCTACGGGCCACTTTAGCAATCGAGCCGGCTCACTTTACATTTAGGGTTTAGATCCTGTCACAAAAGTAAACAAATGTGAGGGAGTCCCACCCTCTCCCTCCTGCTCCACCCTAACCCTCTCCCTCCTGCTCCACCCTAATCCTCTCCCTTCTGCTTCTCCCTAATCCTCTCCCTCCTGCTCCACCCTAACCCTCTCCCTCCAGCTCCACCCTAACCCTCTCCCTCCTGCTCCACCCTAACCCTCTCCCTCCTGCTCCACCCTAACCCTCTCCCTCCTGCTCCACCCTAACCCTCTCCCTCCTGCTTCTCCCTAACCCTCTCCCTCCTGCTCCACCCTAACCCTCTCCCTCCAGCTCCACCCTAACCCTCTCCCTCCTGCTCCACCCTAACCCTCTCCCTCCTGCTCCACCCTAACCCTCTCCCTCCTGCTCCACCCTAACCCTCTCCCTCCTGCTCCACCCTAACCCTCTCCCTCCTGCTCCTCCCTAACCCTCTCCCTCCTGCTCCACCCTAACCCTCTTCCTCCTGCTCCCTCCCTAACCCTCTCCCTCCTGCTCCACCCTAACCCTCTCCCTCCTGCTCCACCCTAACCCTCTCCCTCCTGCTCCACCCTAACCCTCTCCCTCCTGCTCCTCCCTAACCCTCTCCCTCCTGCTCCACCCTAACCCTCTCCCTCCTGCTCCACCCTAACCCTCTCCCTCCTGCTCCTCCCTAACCCTCTCCCTCCTGCTCCACCCTAACCCTCTCCCTCCTGCTCCACCCTAACCCTCTCCCTCCTGCTCCACCCTAACCCTCTCCCTCCTGCTCCACCCTAACCCTCTCCCTCCTGCTCCACCCTAACCCTCTCCCTCCTGCTCCACCTCTAACCCTCTCCCTCCTGCTCCTCCCTAACCCTCTCCCTCCTGCTCCACCCTAACCCTCTCCCTCCTGCTCCTCCCTAACCCTCTCCCTCCTGCTCCACCCTAACCCTCTCCCTCCTGCTCCTCCCTAACCCTCTCCCTCCTGCTCCACCTCTAACCCTCTCCCTCCTGCTCCACCCTAACCCTCTCCCTCCTGCTTCTCCCTAACCCCTCTCCCTCCTGCTCCACCCTAACCCTCTCCCTCCAGCTCCACCCTAACCCTCTCCCTCCTGCTCCACCCTAACCCTCTCCCTCCTGCTCCACCCTAACCCTCTCCCTCCTGCTCCACCCTAACCCTCTCCCTCCTGCTCCCCCTAACCCTCTCCCTCCTGCTTCTCCCTAACCCTCTCCCTCCTGCTCCACCCTAACCCTCTCCCTCCAGCTCCACCCTAACCCTCTCCCTCCTGCTCCACCCTAATCCTCTCCCTCCTGCTCCACCCTAACCCTCTCCCTCCTGCTCCACCCTAACCCTCTCCCTCCTGCTCCACCCTAACCCTCTCCCTCCTGCTTCTCCCTAACCCTCTCCCTCCTGCTCCACCTCTAACCCTCTCCCTCCAGCTCCACCCTAACCCTCTCCCTCCTGCTCCACCCTAACCCTCTCCCTCCTGCTCCACCCTAACCCTCTCCCTCCTGCTCCACCCTAACCCTCTCCCTCCTGCTCCTCCCTAACCCTCTCCCTCCTGCTCCTCCCTAACCCTCTCCCTCCTGCTCCACCTCTAACCCTCTCCCTCCTGCTCCACCTCTAATCCTCTCCCTCCTGCTCCTCCCTAATCCTCTCCCTCCTGCTCCTCCCTAACCCTAACCCTCCCCCTCCTGCTCCACCCTAACCCTCTCCCTCCTGCTCCTCCCTAACCCTCTCCCTCCTGCTCCACCCTAATCCTCTCCCTCCTGCTCCTCCCTAATCCTCTTCCTCCTGCTCCACCCTAACCCTCTCCCTCCTGCTCCACCCTAACCCTCTCCCTCCTGCTCCTCCCTAACCCTCTCCCTCCTGCTCCACCCTAACCCTCTCCCTCCTGCTCCTCCCTAACCCTCTCCCTCCTGCTCCACCCTAACCCTCTCCCTCCTGCTCCACCCTAACCCTCTCCCTCCTGCTCCACCCTAACCCTCTCCCTCCTGCTCCTCCCTAACCCTCTCCCTCCTGCTCCACCTCTAACCCTCTCCCTCCTGCTCCACCTCTAACCCTCTCCCTCCTGCTCCTCCCTAACCCTCTCCCTCCTGCTCCACCCTAACCCTCTCCCTCCTGCTCCTCCCTAACCCTCTCCCTCCTGCTCCACCTCTAACCCTCTTCCTCCTGCTCCACCTCTAACCCTCTCCCTCCTGCTCCTCCCTAACCCTCTCCCTCCTGCTCCTCCCTAACCCTCTCCCTCCTGCTCCACCCTAACCCTCTCCCTCCTGCTCCTCCCTAACCCTCTCCCTCCTGCTCCACCTCTAACCCTCTCCCTCCTGCTCCACCTCTAATCCTCTCCCTCCTGCTCCTCCCTAACCCTCTCCCTCCTGCTCCACCCTAACCCTCTCCCTCCTGCTCCTCCCTAACCCTCTCCCTCCTGCTCCACCTCTAACCCTCTCCCTCCTGCTCCACCTCTAACCCTCTCCCTCCTGCTCCTCCCTAATCCTCTCCCTCCTGCTCCACCCTAACCCTCTCCCTCCTGCTCCTCCCTAACCCTTTTCCTCCTGCTCACCCTTACCCTCTCCCTCCTGCTCCTCCCTAACCCTCTCCCTCCTGCTCCACCTCTAACCCTCTCCCTCCTGCTCCACCTCTAACCTTCTCCCTCCTGCTCCTCCCTAACCCTCTCCCTCCTGCTCCACCCTAACCCTCTCCCTCCTGCTCCTCCCTAACCCTTTTCCTCCTGCTCACCCTTACCCTCTCCCTCCTGCTCACCCTAACCCTCTCCCACTCAGAGGGCGGTGACCTCTGCTCAGAATGAAAGAACTCACTGCCTGCCACTGGCCCTCTCTCCAGCGATAGACTGATGGGCAGTCTTCCCCACGGCAGCTCTGGCTGGAGGCAGGTCTGGTGTGAGGGGAACAGTCGGTCTCCACCGGGCTGCGCAGGTCTCCAGTTTGACAGAAGACCTCCCGACGCTGGATCCCATCTCCACATTTCACTGAGCACTGGGGGTGAGAGGTAAGGTCAAAGGTGACACTGCCAGCACCACACAGACCTTCTGCTTTGGAGGCTTTCTGTGCTGCAGGGCCTTTACACTCAGGGAGATTAAGCTTTTCTTACAACACAGTGAGTAAAGTATTGTGTGTAAGTAATCAGAGTAAATACTACAGTATGTGTACAGTAAGTAGTAAGTAAATACTACAGGTACCAGGATGGAGCTGCCACATGTGTGTTTCCTCTGGACCTCAGTCCACAGCTGGTCTGGGCCTCAGTCCACAGCTGGTCTGGGCCTCAGTCCACAGCTGGTCTGGGCCTCAGTCCACAGCTGGTCTGGGCCTCAGTCCACAGCTGGTCTGGGCCTCAGTCCACAGCTGGTCTGGGCCTCAGTCCACAGCTGGTCTGGACCTCAGTCCACAGCTGGTCTGGGCCTCAGTCCACAGCTGGTCTGGACCTCAGTCCACAGCTGGTCTGGGCCTCAGTCCACAGCTGGTCTGGGCCTCAGTCCACAGCTGGTCTGGGCCTCAGTCCACAGCTGGTCTGGGCCTCAGTCCACAGCTGGTCTGGGTGGACTCAGATGATCCCTGTCATATGGAGGACACATGTTTGGACCTCAGACCATTGGAGCGTCTGTGCAGCAGTGATGTTACAGAGAGAGAGCTGTCCATGTGCATATGGTCTCTTATGGTCTCTTATGGTCTCTTATGGTCTCTTATGGTCTCTTATGGTCCTTGTGCCACAGGATCATGAAATCCAGTCATGAAGTCCAGTAGAAAAAGTCAAATGTGAGAAAGAAGATGGTTCAAGTTTCTACATGTATAATCTCTGCTCCCGAGGTTTTGTTGCTGTCAAAGAAAGAGAGAGAGCCGTACCTCCTCCCAGTCCCCCGCGGACCACCTGGGGCACTGTGCTCCTCTGCAGCGCCTCTCCCTGCCGGGCTTTGCAGAGAGATGCAGGCAGTTCTGATCCGCAACACTACGCCCAGATCCAGTCACACAATTCACCTTCCGGAACTTGGAGCCCCGTCCACAAGACGCAGAGCACTGAAAGCAAACGAGAATAGTGGTCATCTCACATTTACAACACACGTGAAGAATACTAGACGTTTTGAACTTTCTTGTTTGACTTTTTGGATGTTTTATAGCGAAGGGAAGGGGCTGTGGTTCACCCGGCAGTGCTGTGTTCCACTTCCGAGTTGCCTTTGCGAGGCTAACACATTGTGACAAGCTGAAGAGTTTTGTTGAGCTTGGATAATCAAGAGGGTGTTGCATGTGGAATGGATAGGAACTGACAGGCCCAGAGTTGAATGAGTGCGGGGCCCAGAGATCCGTGCACGCCCCTTCAGTGGGCCCTAACTCTGGTTCTGAACTCTCACCTCATTCAGGGTGAGTTCATTGGTGAAGGCAGTGATGAATGAGACTGATCTTTATGATGACTCTTTACACGCCTTCACTGTTATGAATCAAACATGTATAACCAGTGTCTTTCATGTCTTTGCCCACAACATTTGTCTGTGTCCAAATGCAAAAATACTAAACTATAATATCAAGAAATGAAGTAAAGAATGGTCAGTGCTCGATGCTGACACCTACTGGACATGTTTATATTTCAGAATGTGTTGGTGTGTTCTTTGCTGCTTCTGTGGTAAATGTGGCCTCCTCTAAAGACACATGACCTCTGACCCTCGGCCCCACAGAGCCCCTGGATCTGCTGCTCTGGAAGTGCAAGGGCTAGTTTTATGAATGAATGAGTGAATTTGGTTATGAAGCAGATGATGGCGACATGCTCTGGGTAAGTGCGAAGTGAAAATGTAGGATTAAAGTTGTAGAAGAAACCATAAAAGCTTGGTTACTATGAGTTCAGCTGAAGTGGGGAAGTTCATGTATGTGATAATCAGACAAAGAAGGAAAAAAGGCGTTGATAGTACCTCGACTTCTCTTTAATTAAAGTCAAACATATTCATAAAAAATTAAATACTGACAACACATAGTCATGAAACAATAAATACAAGTAATAATTACATGAATATACACAATTCTTGTACAGAAACTAATACTGCCATTTGTGAAAAAGAAAATACAAAATATATATATTTATCAGAACCTGTCCATTTGGTGTTTAGCTGAACTGAGCAGACAAATGTGACATTTTAACGTTGACCTCTTTAGCTCAGCTCCTACGAGACTGTTCCAATCACACGTGGGACCAGTTATGTACAGTAGTAAGAGGCACTCACTGCTGATTTAACAGGCCCCTAAACTAAGGCCTAATGTCAGCAAAGACATTTATGACCAAAGGGGATCAGCTGGGTGGGCTGCAGAGACACCCCCCCTTCTTACCCCCCCTCTCCACAGATACCATGTGCGTTTAACTGGTCTCAAAGGGTGGTCACCAGGAGGAGGAGGAAACATAGTATGGACCATCTATGTTTTCAATCCATCAAAGACACCATCTCTCCAGAGCAGGAGCAGGAAGAGCAGGGAGGAGCGGGAGGTGCAGGGAGGAGCGGGAGGTGCAGGGAGGAGCGGGAGGTGCAGGGAGGAGGGGGAGGTGTAGGGGAGGAGGGGGAGGTGCAGGGAGGAGGGGGAGGTGCAGGGAGGAGGGGGAGGTGTAGGGAGGAGCAGGAAGAGTAGGGAGGAGCGGGAGGTGTAGGGAGGAGCGGGAGGTGCAGGGAGGAGGGGGAGGTGCAGGGAGGAGGGGGAGGTGTAGGGAGGAGGGGGAGGTGCAGGGAGGAGGGGGAGGTGTAGGGAGGAGCGGGAGGTGTAGGGAGGAGGGGGAGGTGCAGGGAGCAGGAAGAGCAGGGAGGAGCGGGAGGTGCAGAAAGGAGCGGGAGGTGCTGGGAGTGAGAGGTGCAGGGAGGTGCATGGATCAGGAGGTGCAGGGAGCAGGAGGTGCAGGAGCAGGAGGTGCAGGAGCAGGAGGTGCAGGAGCAGAGGTGCAGGAGCAGGAGGTGCAGGGAGCAGGAGCAGGAGGTGCAGGAGCAGGAGGTGCAGGTGCAGGAGGAGCAGGAGGTGCAGGTGCAGGAGGAGCCGGAGGAGGTGCAGGAGCAGGAGGTGCAGGAGCAGGAGGTGCAGGAGCAGGAGGTGCAGGAGCAGGAGGTGCAGGAGCAGGAGGTGCAGGAGCGGTCGTTCCCACACTGAGGTAGAGGTACTGTTGGCTCAGAGACAGAGACTAAAGTCTGAGGAAAGTCTCTGAATCAAACACATTTGTCATAAAAATATATATTTAGTCTGTTATTATTTCCCTTGAGTGCCTTAAAAACTGCTTTCATGGCTACTGGAGGTAAGACCCAGACCCAGGCCCAGGCCCAGACCCAGGCCCAGGCCCAGACCCAGACCTAGACCCAGACCCAGGCCCAGGCCCAGACCCAGGCCCAGGCCCAGACCCAGACCTAGACCCAGACCCAGGCCCAGGCCCAGACCCAGACCCATGGCTACTTGAGACAAGTGTGAGGTATTTAGGAACGTATGGTATTTTCTAAACCATGAACAAACCATGTGGAGCAAAAGTAACTTAAATATTCTAACTACAGGAGGAGCACCTTTGGAACAAGCACCGGTTCTGTGACGTCAGAGGGTCCGGGTCTTTGGAGAACAAACAAATGCTTCAAAACCGTCAAAAATGTAAAAACCATTTCTAAAAACTGCTTTTCAGAGACGCACACTTTGTATTTGTGTGTTTTAATCACAGAGTGTGTAACCAGGAGTGAGTCTTTGGCTGAAATGCAAACATACAAAGTTCTCTAAGTTCCTGATTTACAAAACATTCTTCTGCGATGTCAAAGATCGTCCGACTGTAAAAGTGAATATTCTGAATAATTACAAATAATTTACTGTTATTTACAAAAACCGTAATAAATTATATAAAAACATTATTTTACAAAACTGTGACTTTGTCCAAAAGAAAACACAAGCTTTGGTCCTAAGTGCACTTGATCATGGCCCAAAGGAGACGGAGCAGACCCAGACCCGGAGACAGGCCCAGACCCAGACTCAGGCCCAGACCTAGAGCCAGAGCCAAAGCGAGACCCAGACCCAGACCTAGAGCCAGAGCCAAAGCGAGACCCAGACCCAGACCTAGAGCCAGAGCCAAAGCGAGACCCAGACCCAGACCTAGAGCCAGAGCCAAAGCGAGACCCAGACCCAGAGCCAGACCCGGAGTCAGAGCCAAAGCGAGACCCAGACCCAGAGCCAGACCCAGACAGGCCCAGACCCAGACCAGACCTAGAGCCAGAGCCAGGCTCAGACCCAGACCCAGATCTAGAGCCAGACCCAGATCCAGATCCAGAGCCAGGCCCAGACCAAGACCCAGACCCAGGGTCAAAGCCAGACCCAGACCCAGACCTAGACCCAGACCCAGACCCAGACCTAGACCGAGACAGAGTCAGAGCCCGTAGAAGGACACAGAGAGTTAAAGTGAAGAAAGAGAAGCAGAAGTGATGTTTCATGAGCGTACCGAGCTCCAGGGGCCTGTGCTCCAGTGGGGGCCGGAGGGGCAGGGCTGAGTACTGCACTGCTCCCGGTCCGGGGGCTTGTCATGGATCTCACAGCTCAGGTCATTGAAACGCTCGCCGTTTGGACGCTGACAAACCACAAGTCTTGTCTTGACGCCGCCGCCACAGGTCTTGGTGCACTGCAAAAGGACGTCCACTGTTATTTTTCAGTCAGGAGGAAATGTGTCGTTAGATCAGTTTATGAATAATTAACCACAACATTAAGAAACCATTTGTTCAACATAATAATAACTTCAACAGTGTGATAATAACTTCTATAATATCCACAGAGAATAAACCGTTATATCAGTAAATTATAATAGTACAATTTCTGCCATAAAAGGTTTTCTACAACATTTATGGACTTTGGTCTCTCCCTATGGACCAAAACCATGTGGTCTCTCCCTATGGTCCAATACCATGTGGGCTCTCCCTATGGACCAATACCATGTGGTCTCTCCCTATGGACCAAAACCATGTGGTCTCTCTCTATGGTCCAATACCATGTGGTCTCTCTCTATGGACCAATACCATGTGGTCTCTCCCTATGGTCTAATACCAAGTGGTCTCTCCCTATGGACCAATACCATGTGGTCTCTCCCTATTGTCCAATACCATGTGGTCTCTCCCTATGGTCCAATACCATGTAGTCTCTTCCTATGGTCCAATACCATGTGGTCTCTCGCTATGGTCCAATACCATGTGGGCTCTTCCTATGGTCCAATACCATATGGTCTATGGTCCAATACCATGTGGTCTCTCCCTATGGTCCAATACCATGTAGTCTCTTCCTATGGTCCAATACCATATGGTCTCTCCCTATGGTCCAATACCATGTGGTCTCTCGCTATGGTCCAATACCATGTGGGCTCTCCCTATGGTCCAATACCATATGGTCTTTCCCTATGGACCAATACCATGTAGTCTCTCCCTATGGTCCAATACCATGTGATCTCTCCCTATGGTCCAATATCATGTGGTCTCTCCCTATGGTCCAATACCATGTGGTCTCTCTCTATGGTCCAATACCATGTGGTCTCTCCCTATGGACGAATACCATGTGGTCTCTCCCTATGGTCCAATATCATGTGGTCTCTCCCTATGGTCCAATATCATGTGGTCTCTCCCTATGGTCCAATACCATGTGGTCTCTACCAATGGTCCAATACCATGTGGTCTTTCCCTATGGTCCAATATCATGTGGTCTCTCCCTATGGTCCAATACCATGTGGTCTCTCTCTATGGTCCAATACCATATGGTCTCTCCCTATGGACGAATACCATGTGTTCTTTACTATTGTTATTATTATGAATCTTTATTAAGGACACAAACATAGGTCCGTAGTTAAAACAGAATTTCCAATACACACAGTTTACTTCAGATTAAAAAAGAACAGATAAAACAAGAGAGAACTCTGCTGATTCTTTGGTGTCGGAGATTTCAACAGTTTGTAAAGTCCTCAGAGAAACGACTGTGATTCAGGACGATACAAGAATAGTATGAATAAATATCTTTGTAGTGACCCATAGACAGTGAGTGGTGTTGGTACCTCGCCCCAGTCGCCGTAGATCCACTGAGGACACGGGCCGGCCTCGCAGGAGCGCTGCTCGCCGGGCCGGCTGTGCTCCTCGCAGCTGTTGGCCGGATAACCGTTCTCGTCCTGACACACCACCACGCGGCGCTGGAAGCCACCCGCACACGTACTGGAGCACTGTGGGCACATCACACGGTTAAAACACGGGTTAAAACACGGTTAAAACACGGTTAAAACACGGGTTAAAACACGGTTAAAACACAGTTAAAAACACGGTTAAAACACAGTTAAAACACGGTTAAAACACGGTTAAAAACACTGAGTTAAAACAAGGTTAAAACACGGTTTAAAACATGGTTAAAACACGGTTAAAACACGGGTTAAAACGCGTTAAAACACGGTTAGAACACAGTTAAAACGCAGTTAAAACACGGTTAAAACACGGTTAAAACACGGTTAAAACACGGTTAAAACACGTTAAAAACACTGAGTTAAAACACGGTTAAAACACGGGTTAAACGCGTTAAAACACGGTTAGAACACAGTTAAAACACAGTTAAAACACGGTTAAAACACAGTTAAAACACGGTTTAAACACGGTTAAAACACGGTTAAAACACGGTTAAAAAAAGGTTAAAACACGTTAAAAACACTGAGTTAAAACAAGGTTAAAACACGGTTTAAAACATGGTTAAAACACGGTTAAAACACGGTTAAAACACGGGTTAAAACACGGGTTAAAACACGGGTTAAAACACAGTTAAAACACGGTTAAAACACGGGTTTTAAAACAGGACAGAGAGGCTCACCGCGCCCCAGGGTCCGGTCCTCCACTGGTGAGCCTGGTTGTGGGGAAGACTGTTCCTTGTGTTGCTGTTGGGGGAGGACGGGGGGAGTCGAGGGTCAGGGCGGGGGGAGGGACACTGGGACATGGCGCAGTCCTGTTGGGGGTGTGGTCGGTCCTCCAGGTCACACTCACTGGCGTCCATCTCTTGCTCGTTGAAGTTGACACAAAGCACCTGTCGAGTTGTGGTTCCCTGCCCACAGCTCACCGAGCACTGAAACAACAGTAGTGGCTGAGTGGTTAGCACTCTCGCTTCTCAGCAAGAGGGTCGGAACAGGATCTTTCTGAGTGGAGTTTGCATGTCCTCCCTGTGTCTGCCTATCATTGTGAAGCAGAATTCACCAAGCGTTGGATCGTTCAACCACAAATAGGGAACATGAGCTGGTTTAGACCGTTGTAAGACAGGTTAGTTTTAACCACAGATGATGTGTTGTTGCAATAGTAATGCTGACACAGGATCACTATAGCAACAACATTAATGAACAATCCAACACTTGGTGAATTCTGCTTCACAATGATAGGAAGAGCCAACATTGAAGGATCAGGAGAAACCTTTCGGGTGCTGCAATTTCCCCTGCCACTAAAAACATGTAGAATAGATCTGACAGCGCCCCCTGTAGGTGACAGCTCCATCTCTGTGTGGAGACAAATGCCCACAATTGTTAAGTGCTTTCTGACTCTGGTCTGAGAAAGGCGCTATATAAATAAACATTACTAACTTACTACTGAGATCATGGTCTCTCCCTGTGGACCAAAACCATGTGTTCTATATTCTCTGTGTCTTAACTGTTGATTCTCTGATCTGTGTTGGTGATTTCAATGGTTTTGCTCAGTCTCTGAGATGATGCTGCTGTGATTTAGGGCGATACAAGAATAAATTGAATTGAACTGAAACACTGTCCATTTCCAGGTGGTCTGTGTTTCAGATGGATGTGAGACTAAAGGCTCCTCTCCCTTTGGTCTGCAGCGAGTAAGAGGCTGAGTGTGTTTGTGGGAGCCCAGTCTGCAGCGAGTGAGAGGCTGAGTGTGTTTGTGGGAGCCCAGTCTGCAGCGAGTGAGAGGCTGAGTGTGTTTGTGGGAGCCCAGTCTGCAGCGAGTGAGAGGCTGAGTGTGTTTGTGGGAGCCCAGTCTGCAGCGAGTGAGAGGCTGAGTGTGTTTGTGGGAGCCCAGTCTGCAGCGAGTGAGAGGCTGAGTGTGTTTGTGGGAGCCCAGTCTGCAGCGAGTGAGAGGCTGAGTGTGTTTTGGGAGCCCGGTCTGCAGCGAGTGTGAGGCTGAGTGTGTTTGTGGGAGCCCAGTCTGCAGCGAGTGAGAGGCTGAGTGTGTTTGTGGGAGCCCAGTCTGCAGAGAGTGAGAGGCTGAGTGTGTTTGTGGGAGCCCAGTCTGCAGCGAGTGAGAGGCTGAGTGTGTTTGTGGGAGCCCAGTCTGCAGCGAGTGAGAGGCTGAGTGTGTTTGTGGGAGCCCGGTCTGCAGCGTGTGAGGCTGAGTGTGTTTGTGGGAGCCCAGTCTGCAGCGAGTGTGAGGCTGAGTGTGTTTGTGGGAGCCCAGTCTGCAGCGAGTGAGAGGCTGAGTGTGTTTGTGGGAGCCCAGTCTGCAGCGAGTGAGAGGCTGAGTGTGTTTGTGGGAGCCCAGTCTGCAGCGAGTGTGAGGCTGAGTGTGTTTGTGGGAGCCCAGTCTGCAGCGAGTGTGAGGCTGAGTGTGTTTGTGGGAGCCCGGTCTGCAGCGAGTGTGAGGCTGAGTGTGTTTGTGGGAGCCCGGTCTGCAGCGAGTGTGAGGCTGAGTGTGTTTGTGGGAGCCCAGTCTGCAGCGAGTGAGAGGCTGAGTGTGTTTGTGGGAGCCCAGTCTGCAGCGAGTGAGAGGCTGAGTGTGTTTGTGGGAGCCCAGTCTGCAGCGAGTGTGAGGCTGAGTGTGTTTGTGGGAGCCCAGTCTGCAGCGAGTGAGAGGCTGAGTGTGTTTGTGGGAACCCAGTCTGCAACGAGTGAGAGGCTAAGTGAGTTTGTGGGAGCCCAGTCTGCAGCGAGTGAGAGGCTGAGTGTGTTTGTGGGAGCCCGGTCTGCAGCGAGTGAGAGGCTGAGTGAGTTTGTGGGAGCCCAGTCTGCAGCGAGTGAGAGGCTGAGTGTGTTTGTGGGAGCCCAGTCTGCAGCGAGTGTGAGGCTGAGTGTGTTTGTGGGAGCCCAGTCTGCAGCAAGTGAGAGGCTGAGTGAGTTTGTGGGAGCCCAGTCTGCAGCGAGTGAGAGGCTGAGTGTGTTTGTGGGAGCCCAGTCTACAGCGAGTGAGAGGCTGAGTGTGTTTGTGGGAGCCCAGTCTGCAGCGTATCGACTCTGATGAGAACCATCTGTAAACAAAGCCCCTCATGAGGCCCTCAGCTGCTCTCACTCTGAGCCCACACTTTACTGCACACTTTCTCTCCTGACACAATGAGTGCATCTGCGTTGCCAGATAAGATATGAACGTAGATGAGTGAGTCTTACTGTGGACCACTCCAACACTCTCCACTGCCCACAGGACACAACGGAGCACACTTCTCTGGCCGGGGGCTTTGGGAGATGGGCACAGGCCTGCTCCTCGGCTACGCCTCCTTGATTGTCCCGACAACTCACATATCGCATTCGACTCCCTTTTCCACAGCTGGCACTGCACTGTACCAGAGAGAAACACATGGTTTTATAATAAACATCAGGGAACATGGAACAGTGCAGACAACAGCACACACCTGTGTCCAAGAGCCGTATCTCCACTGGGTTTTATGGCTTGGATGAGAAGGACCTTTAGTGTCCGGAGGAACCAGGTGACTGTTTGGACATTGGGCCACGTCACAGTCCTGTTGAACACCAGCAGCACATTTCTCAGTGAAAACAAAGTTGATGATTGCAAATGAAAGCACAAGACGCACATTTAAAAAGCAGAATTTCTGTGATAAAAGGTTTCAACTTGAATCAAGGTTTCCCATCGACTCCCCGCCCCACCCACGTTACCAAAATAACAAGAAATAAGTGAGCTGTCAGTTCAAACTATGGATTGTGGTGGAAAGCCACTCAGCATAAACCCCTGATCCCAGTCATAACAGCTCACAATGGAGCGGTATTTGGGCCTCCAACGCCATCGCGCTGCAGCCGTAAGCTCCGCCCCCATCAGCCGTTTGTCCCTAACCTTCTGCACTTTCACTTTTGTCTTTGTGCCCTGTGCTGCCCTCTGACCCCTCTCCCCAGAGGTAAGACTCATAATGGGGTTGGACAGGCAGTGAGCAGGCTCCACATTCCACACTGAGCCTTTTTGCGGAAGTCACTTTTGCTTTTTGTGGACGGCGGACGTGAAAACATCAGGAAACTTTATATCTATCTGTTCTGTTCTTTGACAATGCACTGGGAAAAATACAGAAATAAATATATGAAAATAAGTAAAATACTGCTAAAAATAATTCAAATGATCTGCCAATAGAAGGAAATAGGACTTAATATTTCGGAAAATTAGACTAGCCCCAAATGATTTGATTCTACACTGAAAAAAGTAACATCTTGGTCAGATTTATTCACTAAAAATAACATAAATCATGGTTTGTTTTTTTTAATGGCAAGTTTTTGTAGCTTAAATGTAGATTGTCATAAGGATTATTTTACTAGTTTTAAGATACTTCATAATATTATTAGAGAAAAAAAGTCTGAGCAGTGACTTTTTTAAGCCTGTTTTAAGTATTTTTTCAGACTTTTCTTGTTCAGATAAATTCAGTTTGTGATGCCGTAGTTTAAGAAAACATTTCCCAAAAATGTTTAAGAAATATGTAAATAATACTTCAATAAATGTATGTTTTTAAACTACAATCAATTCATTTGGGGCTAGCTTTTTTTTTTTTTTTTGCTCAAAATCTTAAGTCATTTTTCCTTGTTCAATTGTTGATAATTTTTATTATTTTGGGGCAGTATTTTACATATTTTTGTCTTTTTTTTTGTTGAGGGATTTGTTCCAGTGTGGGAATGGCTTCCCCAGTGGCCCACTTCAAGGCTGGTTACTGGAAATCACAGTGAGGTGGGGGCCATTCTGAGGTTGGAATTCTGACCTGCTGTTACCGGCACCACCACAATCCAACTGGACACAGCCCTCACAGAGACCGGCACCATCACAATCCAACTGGACACAGCCCTCACAGAGACCGGCACCACCACAATCCAACTGGACACAGCCCTCACAGAGACCGGCACCACCACAATCCAACTGGACACAGCCCTCACAGAGACCGGCACCACCACAATCCAACTGGACACAGCCCTCACAGAGACCGGCACGACCACAATCCAACTGGACACAGCCCTCACAGAGACGGCACGACCACAATCCAACTGGACACAGCCCTCACAGAGACCGGCACGACCACAATCCAACTGGACACAGCCCTCACAGAGACCGGCACGACCACAATCCAACTGGACACAGCCCTCACAGAGACCGGCACCACCACAATCCAACTGGACACAGCCCTCACAGAGACCGGCACCACCACAATCCAACTGGACACAGCCCTCACAGAGACCGGCACCACCACAATCCAACTGGACACAGCCCTCACAGAGACCGGCACGACCACAATCCAACTGGACACAGCCCTCACAGAGACCGGCACGACCACAATCCAACTGGAACAGCCCTCACAGAGACCGGCACGACCACAATCCAACTGGAACAGCCCTCACAGAGACCGGCACGACCACAATCCAACTGGACACAGCCCTCACAGAGACCGGCACCATCACAATCCAACTGGACACAGCCCTCACAGAGACCGGCACCACCACAATCCAACTGGACACAGCCCTCACAGAGACCGGCACCATCACAATCCAACTGGACACAGCCCTCACAGAGACCGGCACCATCACAATCCAACTGGACACAGCCCTCACAGAGACCGGCACGACCACAATCCAACTGGACACAGCCCTCACAGAGACCGGCACGACCACAATCCAACTGGACACAGCCCTCACAGAGACCGGCACGACCACAATCCAACTGGACACAGCCCTCACAGAGACCGGCACGACCACAATCCAACTGGACACAGCCCTCACAGAGACCGGCACGACCACAATCCAACTGGAACAGCCCTCACAGAGACCGGCACGACCACAATCCAACTGGACACAGCCCTCACAAAGACCGGCACGACCACAATCCAACTGGAACAGCCCTCACAGAGAGCTCATGGAGATCCGGGTCCACCTTAAACGTTACCTGGGTGTCTGTGGGACGGGTAGCAGCGTTGCACTCAGTATCATCCATCATGGCACCGAAAGAACCAACTACACACTTCACTGCTCGCATCTGGAATCCGGGCCCACATGAGGTAGTGCACTGAGTTCAAAGAGAAAGAAGAAGCAGTGTGGGAGTATGAGAAGAGGTCGAGAACAAGAATGTCAAACTCTGGGCCGTGGGCTAAATTTGGCCCTGAAATGATTTTAATTATTACTAACCCATTATTAAAGTCACTTGCAGAGCATTGATGGTGATTGGATTCTATGGTTAAAGCTTCTTATCTCCGGAAAACAACCATATCATTGAATCATTCCTTAACAAAAATTGAACTGACATTTTAACTGAGTAGAAGTTAAAGTAGGGCTAAAATATATTTATAAAACTGTCAGTCAAATGCATGATACTTGGCAGAGAAAATAAAAATCCAAACTCATTGTATTGTTCAAAAAATATGTACAAAAAGACTTTACTTTTGGCCGCAACCTGCACTTACGTTTTTACATTTTTGGCCCACGACAAAAATGTAAATAACGGATTAACTACAAACACAACACACAAGAAAAAGGAGTAAATTAGCCCCGTATAAAAGCCCTATCGTTTCAGCCGCTGGACCCTCCCCATTTCTCTTCTGCACCACTGCCTCCAATAAAACAAGGTCAAATTGTTGTGGTGGCAACTTCAGCTGCCATTTGACTATGCTTCATTTAAGGACTTCAAATGTATCTGCACATCCTGGAATGTTCTGGCTCCACATTCTGCCCTATGTAAACCTTTGCAATATTTTACAGCACGAAAAGGATGGATCTAAGTCCTAACACAACCTCGTTTTTACATTGGTTTTGCAGTAAACTGATTTTGATGGGCTTTAGAATGTACACTGCAAAAAATGACAAAATATGAGGTGATAATGGCTAGAATCAGGTGGTTTTTATCTTTGTACGACACATTCTGACTGTGTTAAAACCAGATTCTCCAACGGGACAAAGCCATTTAGTCCTATTTCAAGAACTGTTGCTTTGCATTCCTGTTTCAAGGGAGGCTTGTATCTTTTCAAAACAAGATAATTTTGTTTTGTCCCATAATTGGCAAATCTTGTTTAAAGGCAGTGCTCAAAAGAAGATATATTTTGCCAAATTTGAGCAATTTTTTTGACTTATTTATTCATCAGTTTTTGCAGTGTAGCTGTGGTTTGAAGCTCTGATCATCGACTGAGTGGAAATAAACTCTGTAAATATATAAAATAATAAATAATAAAGGAACTGACCTGTCCCCAGGGTCCGACCTGCCACGAGGCGCACTCCTGCTGCTGACACGGCTGCACAGACTCAGGTTTGGCTGAACCGCAGTGAGGATCCTCCAATCGATCTTCACCAAACTGACACCAAACCTGCCTGTGTTTGTAGCCTTTCCCACACGTCACCAGGCACTACAGGTAATACAGTATTAATACAGCGTTAATACAGCGTTAATACAGCTTTAATACAGTGTTAATACAGCGTTAATACAGCTTTATTACAGTGTTAATACAGCGTTATTACAGCGTTAATACAGCGTTAATACAGTGTTAATACAGTGTTAATACAGCGTTAATACAGTGTTAATACAGTGTTAATACAGCGTTAATACAGCTTTATTACAGTGTTAATACAGCGTTATTACAGCGTTAATACAGCATTAATACAGCGTTATTACAGCGTTAATACAGCGTTAATACAGCGTTAATACAGCGTTATTACAGCGTTAATACAGCTTTAATACAGCTTTACTACAGAGTTAATACGAGATATAATTGCTATATGTATTTTTTTGTTGTTACAATTTTCATTTAATTTATTTGTATTTATTTATTTTATTTTTGTATCTATTTATCTATTTTATTTACTGCATTTATTTGATGTTTTAATGTATGTTTTCTTTTTTATTTGATCAATTGTATCTATATTTGTAATAATCTTAAGCATTTATTTATTATTTTTCTATTTTAAATTTTCTTTTATGTATTTTATTTAATTTTTTTTTCTTATTTGTATTTATTTTATGTATTTCATCGATTCTATCTGAAAAGAGACTGTACACATTGATCCACATTCAGTAAAAGTCAGAATGAGCTAAATCGACACAGTCAAAGTAAAAGCAGAGAGTCGTAAACGCACCTCGGACCAGTCCCCACTTTTCCACCATGGACAGAGGAATTCATTACAGGATTGGACGGTCAGCTTGTCCCTTTGGCTACACATGGTTTCATCTCCCACATGGTCTGGAGCCTTACTGCAGACTGCCCCTCGGTGGCGGGTGCCTCCTCCACAGCTCTTGGTGCACTAAAGCAGACAGTTCAATACAACAATAAAGAAATATAAAAATGAGAGTGTGAGTTACCTCGGACCAGGACGAGTACTCCCAGCCCCCGGGGTTACAGTCCCCATGACAGCTTTCCTTGTCGTCTGGTTTATGGATGTTGCTGCAGTAACGCTCGTCCACCTTCTGTGTCTTTACATCGCCATGATTTGTTTTCCCGCAGTATATTTCCAGCGGCCGATATCCTGGGCCACATTGGGCGGAGCACTCACTCTTACGGGCCACAAACCACCTGTTGACACGGTTATAGGAGAGAGTGAGTCAAAGGGTGATCTATAATCATATCTGGATAGACTATAACTAGCTTTAGCTGTCCCACCCATGGCCACAGGGGGCGCTGTGGTACAGCAGACTAAATTCACGTTACAAACAAAAAGGCCCATAACTCTTTCTAAAGCCCTGAACGTCTGGATTTCAGTCTATGTCATTATTTGCACAAACTGTAACGACGTGGTTTTTGATTGTGTCACTTCCGTTAATGTTGCTAATGTAGCTGGTGAGACGGTAAACATGTGTCATTCAGCCAACTTCAGTTATAGATCATCATAAACCTACGAACAGCCCAATGTCAGTCCAGACAGTTTTCCAGTCCGTGATGCCGGCCCCTGGACTAGTCTGAACAAAAGTGGCTCTTACTAAAAGGTTTGGACACCCTTGGTCTTACGCACACTTTGTAACGTCACAGACCTAAGTTCGCAGTCATTGTTGCAGGTTTCCGTGACGACCGCAGGCCGAGGTGTGCCGTGACATCGCTGGTCCGACACCACAACTCTGTCGGATTCTCGACTACACACAATCTTTCGCTTGCGTTCACCTGTGGATACAACACAATCTCGTTTATCTATTATTCTATTTGGAAAGTGAAGGAGAGAAACATTTGTATGCTCTGATCAGTCTGTGTGTGTGTGTGTGTGTGTGTGTCAGTGTGTGCTTGTGTGTGTCTGTTCAGGTTTGTATGTGTCTGTATGGGAGTGTGTGTGTGTGTGTGTTTGTGTGTGTGCTTGTGTGTGTCTGTTCAGGTTTGTATGTGTGTGTGTCCATGTCTGTCTATGTGTTTGAGTCTGTCTATATATATGTGTGTTTGTGTGTGTGTCTGTCTATGTGTCCGCGTATGTCTGTGTGTCTTTATGTGTGTGTGTGTGTGTGTGTCCATGTCTGTCTATGTGTCTGCATATGTCTGTGTGTCTTTATGTGTGTCCACGTATGTCTGGTCTGTGTGTTTGAGTCTGTCTATATGTATGTGTGTCTGTGTGTGTCTGTGCGTCTGTATGTGTTTGTGTGTCCGTGTCTGTCTGTGTGTCAGTGTCTTTGTGTCTGCGTCTGTGTGTATCCACCTCTGTGTGTGTGTCTGCGTCTGTGTGTATCCACCTCTGTGTGTGTCCACGTCTGCATCTTTGTGTCTGCCTCTGTGTGCATTTGCCTCTGTGTGCGTCTGCCTCTGTGTGCGTCTGCCTCTGTGTGCGTCTGCCTCTGTGTGCGTCTGCCTCTGTGTGCATCTGCCTCTGTGTGCATCTGCCTGTGTGCGTCTGCCTCTGTGTGCATCTGCCTCTGTGTGCATCTGCCTGTGTGCGTCTGCCTCTGTGTGCGTCTGCCTCTGTGTGCGTCTGCCTCTGTGTGCGTCTGCCTCTGTGTGCGTCTGCCTCTGTGTGCGTCTGCCTCTGTGTGCGACTGCCTCTGTGTGCGTCTGCCTCTGTGTGCGTCTGCCTCTGTGTGCGTCTGCCTGTGTGCGTCTGCCTCTGTGTGCATCTGCCTGTGTGCATCTGCCTCTGTGTGCATCTGCCTGTGTGCGTCTGCCTGTGTTTGTCTGCCTGTGTGTGTCTGCCTCTGTGTGCATCTGCCTGTGTGCGTCTGCCTCTGTGTGCGTCTGCCTCTGTGTGCGTCTGCCTCTGTGTGCATCTGCCTGTGTGCGTCTGCCTCTGTGTGCGTCTGCCTCTGTGTGCATCTGCCTCTGTGTGCGTCTGCCTCTGTGTGCGTCTGCCTCTGTGTGCATCTGCCTCTGTGTGCGTCTGCCTCTGTGTGCATCTGCCTGTGTGCATCTGCCTCTGTGTGCGTCTGCCTCTGTGTGCGTCTGCCTCTGTGTGCGTCTGCCTCTGTGTGCGTCTGCCTCTGTGTGCATCTGCCTGTGTGCGTCTGCCTCTGTGTGCGTCTGCCTCTGTGTGCATCTGCCTCTGTGTGCGTCTGCCTCTGTGTGCGTCTGCCTCTGTGTGCATCTGCCTCTGTGTGCATCTGCCTCTGTGTGCATCTGCCTGTGTGCATCTGCCTCTGTGTGCGTCTGCCTCTGTGTGCGTCTGCCTCTGTGTGCGTCTGCCTCTGTGTGCGTCTGCCTCTGTGTGCGTCTGCCTCTGTGTGCGTCTGCCTCTGTGTGCATCTGCCTGTGTGCGTCTGCCTCTGTGTGCGTCTGCCTCTGTGTGCGTCTGCCTCTGTGTGCATCTGCCTCTGTGTGCGTCTGCCTCTGTGTGCGTCTGCCTCTGTGTGCGTCTGCCTCTGTGTGCGTCTGCCTCTGTGTGCGTCTGCCTCTGTGTGCGTCTGCCTCTGTGTGCGTCTGCCTCTGTGTGCATCTGCCTCTGTGTGCATCTGCCTCTGTGTGTCTGCCTGTGTGTGTCTGCCTGTGTGTGTCTGCCTCTGTGTGCATCTGCCTCTGTGTGCGTCTGCCTCTGTGTGCATCTGCCTGTGTGTGTCTGCCTCTGTGTGTGTCCGTTTGTGTGTCTGTGTGTCCAGTTTTCCTGCTTTACTTCTGCAGAACCTGAATTTGCACCAACTGTACCAAGAACTAAAGAAATGAGGCCGTGAATGAAGTGTGTAGTAAAAGTGTGATTCCATTTTGAACCTGTCTCTGTGAAAGCCAACGGCCCAAGCACAGACAGCAACACAATAATCCTTTTCATAACTGCAGCGATTTGTTTTGTGGCTTCCAAACTCTTTCTGCCTCCTACTCACCTTGGCACAGACGGCTGCACTCCTGCCAAGGGCCATAAGCATCCCAGAAAAAGTGCTGCGGTCTGTCTTCGATGGGGATGTTAAAAGAATACCTGACGTCTGGGTTGTACAGATTTCCCACAGACAAAACCTAAGAAAATCAGTGTTTTGTGTTGTTAATTAACGGTGTTTTTACAGATACAGGTGGCGTAATACATTATAATATACCTGGACAACAATCTCCTCCTCAATGCGCTCGGTGCAGTTGATCCTTTCAATCACATGGTCCGAGCCGCTGTATTCAAGGATGGTAGTTCCAACTTTGATTTCCCTTTTGAACATGCTAACTACAAACTCTCCATTAAGAAGGAATTCACCGCGAGTATTGGATATGGCTGCGAAGAAAAGTAGTGTTTAAGCATTAAGTTTGCCATTTCAGAACAGCCCAGTCAGCAAACAATCGCTCAGCATATTCCTGATTCGGAAAAACCACAAACGGTACTGTCGACCCGGACTGGTGCCCAGAGGGTAATCAGGTATTAGCATGCTAGTGCCAACAAGACAACACGGATCATTCAAAGGCAGTTGTGGTGAAGCAAAGAAAGACACAGAATGATTTGTAATTTCAGTTTGATAAATTTGTACTTTCATTTGTGATAGATTAAGATTAAAGATGCAGTCAGTGATTTTCTTTTTTTTTTGTATATTATGGAAAACGTCCCTAAACCCTAAAAGTATAAAGTTATCATGTGTTTTCAAATAGTAATGGAAATGACCAGATGTCTATAGGTCTATATGTCTACAAAAATTAATAAAACATATTTTGGAGCGGATCGAACCAATGGGATGTGTTTACCGCCTTCACCCTCTTCCTGTTTCTCTGAGTGCACCGGAGTTATCGGATTTTCTAAAACCTAAAATGGCTGAACAGAAAATTTCACGTTTGCTTCACTCTCCCTGTGACAAAGAAAAGAAAATGCTGGATGTTTGGTTTGGTGGAGAGGGAGGGGAGGGGGAGTGGTTTGGTGGAGAGGGAGGGGGGGGGGAGTGGTTTGGTGGAGAGGAGAGGGAGGGGGAGTGGTTTGGTGGAGAGGGAGGGGGGGGGGGAGTGGTTTGGTGGAGAGGGAGGGGAGGGGGGAGTGGTTTGGTGGAGAGGGAGGAGGGGGAGTGGTTTGGTGGAGAGGGAGGGGAGGGGGGAGTGGTTTGGTGGAGAGGGAGAGGGAGGGGGGGGGAGTGGTTTGGTGGAGAGGGAGGGGAGGGGGAGTGGTTTGGTGGAGAGGGAGGGGAGGGGGGAGTGGTTTGGTGGAGAGGGAGGGGAGGGGGAGTGGTTTGGTGGAGAGGGAGGGGAGGGGGAGTGGTTTGGTGGAGAGGGAGGGGGGGAGTGGTTTGGTGGAGAGGGAGGGGAGGGGGGAGTGGTTTGGTGGAGAGGAGAGGGGGAGGGGGAGTGGTTTGGTGGAGAGGGAGGGGGGGAGTGGTTTGGTGGAGAGGGAGGGGGGAGTGGTTTGGTGGAGAGGGAGGGGAGGGGGAGGGGAGGGGGAGTGGTTTGGTGGAGAGGGAGGGGGGGGGGAGTGGTTTGGTGGAGAGGGATGGGGGGGAGTGGTTTGGTGGAGAGGGGAGGGGGGAGTGGTTACGAGTTGGTGCTACGGCTAAGCTAACAAAATCACTTACTGCATCTTTAAGTGATTGTCCCACAGTGGGGAAAATACAGGGTTCCAAAGAGACACAGGACTGAGTGAAGAGTGAGTTTTTTAGTGAAGCACAAGTCTCACACACACACACACACACACACACACTCTCTTGGCAATGTGCTGTTCCCAGAGGTCTCCCATCACAGCACTAACCCGGGCCTGCCCTGCACAGCTTCAGAGCTCAGATTATTACGACACATACCTAAATAATTGTCATCTTCTGGTTTTCCTGAGTAACTGTGCTGCCGAATATCGATGTTTGTGGCACCCGCTGGTATGTGCACGACTTCGTTATAGCCTGTGAGGGGAGGGAGTACCATCAATCATGAAACCATAAGTCGTTCATAGTCAGTCCGTGTGGTTCCAGGACATACCGTAGCGGACCATGTTGAAGGTGCCTGCTATAGGTTTGCATGAAGAATTATCTCCTCCGCAAACACCGCACTTGTCTCTCCTGGCTTTGGAGTTCAGGACGTGGTCACAGCCAGCTTGCTTTAGGAAAACAGAAACAAAACAGAAGAATTTGTTATTATGCAAAAAAAATTACTTCAATCAAAAATTCATCAAAAAAACCCAAAACATATTTAGCTTTTTTTGAATCGCTGTGGCGTGTAGATTAAAGGGTTAATCTATTATTTTGTGCAGTTGTACTAATAATAAACTGAACTGAACTACTTTTGGGTTGTGTTCCTTGTACCACCTGACACTCCCCCTGTACTACCTGACACTCCCCCTGTACCACCTGACACTCCCCCTGTACCACCTGACACTCCCCCTGTACCACCTGACACTCACCCTGTACCACCTGACACTCCCCCTGTACCACCTGACACTCCCCCTGTACCACCTGTACCACCTGACACTCCCCCTGTACCACCTGACACTCACCCTGTACCACCTGACACTCACCCTGTACCACCTGACACTCACCCTGTACCACCTGACACTCCCCTGTACCACCTGACACTCCCCCTGTACCACCTGACACTCCCTGTACCACCTGACCTCACCCTGTACCACCTGACCCCCTGTACCACCTGACACCACCTGTACCACTGACACTCACCCTGTACCACCTGACACCTGTACACCTGACACTCACCCTGTACCACCTGACACTCACCCTGTACCACCTGACACCTCCCTGTACCACCTGTACCCACCTGACACTCACCCTGTACCACCTGACACTCCCCTGTACCACCTACACTCACCCTGTACCACCTGAATCACACCTGACACCCCCTGTACCACCTGACACTCCCCCTGTACCACCTGACACTCACCCTGTACCACCTGACACTCCCCCTGTACCACCTGACACTCACCCTGTACCACCTGACACTCACCCTGTACCACCTGACACTCCCCTGTACCACCTGACACCCCCTGTCACCACCTGTACCACCTGACACTCCCCTGTACCACCTGACACTCCCCCTGTACCACCTTACCACCTGACACTCCCTCTGTACCACCTGACACTCCCCTGTACCACCTGTACCACCTGACACTCACCCTGTACCACCTGACACTCCCTCTGTACCACCTGACACTCCCCTGTACCACCTGACACTCACCCTGTACCACCTGACACTCCCCTGTACCACCTGACACTCACCCTGTACCACCTGACACTCCCCTGTACCACCTGACACTGTACCACCTGACACTCACCCTGTACCACCTGACACTCCCCTGTACCACGACCCCCTGTACCACCTGACACTCCCCCTGTACCACCTGACACTCCCCTGTACCACACTCCCCCTGTACCACCTGACACTCACCCTGTACCACCTGACACTCCCCCTGTACCACCTGACACTCCCTCTGTACCACCTGACACTCACCCTGTACCACCTGACACTCACCCTGTACCACCTGACACTCCCCTGTACCACCTGACACTCACCCTGTACCACCTGACACTCACCCTGTACCACCTGACACTCACCCTGTACCACCTGACACTCCCCCTGTACCACCTGACACTCCCCCTGTACCACCTGTACCACCTGACACTCCCCCTGTACCACCTGACACTCACCCTGTACCACCTGACACTCACCCTGTACCACCTGACACTCACCCTGTACCACCTGACACTCCCCCTGTACCACCTGACACTCCCCCTGTACCACCTGTACCACCTGACACTCCCCCTGTACCACCTGACACTCACCCTGTACCACCTGACACTCACCCTGTACCACCTGACACTCACCCTGTACCACCTGACACTCCCCCTGTACCACCTGACACTCCCCCTGTACCACCTGTACCACCTGACACTCCCCCTGTACCACCTGACACTCACCCTGTACCACCTGACACTCACCCTGTACCACCTGACACTCACCCTGTACCACCTGACACTCCCCCTGTACCACCTGACACTCCCCCTGTACCACCTGACACTCACCCTGTACCACCTGACACTCACCCTGTACCACCTGACACTCCCCCTGTACCACCTGACACTCACCCTGTACCACCTGACACTCACCCTGTACCACCTGACACTCCCTCTGTACCACCTGACACTCACCCTGTACCACCTGACACTCACCCTGTACCACCTGACACTCACCCTGTACCACCTGACACTCACCCTGTACCACCTGACACTCCCCCTGTACCACCTGTACCACCTGACACTCCCTCTGTACCACCTGACACTCCCCCTGTACCACCTGACACTCCCCCTGTACCACCTGACACTCACCCTGTACCACCTGACACTCACCCTGTACCACCTGACACTCCCCCTGTACCACCTGACACTCACCCTGTACCACCTGACACTCCCCCTGTACCACCTGACACTCCCTCTGTACCACCTGACACTCCCCCTGTACCACCTGACACTCCCCCTGTACCACCTGTACCACCTGACACTCACCCTGTACCACCTGACACTCCCTCTGTACCACCTGACACTCACCCTGTACCACCTGACACTCACCCTGTACCACCTGACACTCCCTCTGTACCACCTGACACTCACCCTGTACCACCTGACACTCCCCCTGTACCACCTGACACTCCCTCTGTACCACCTGACACTCACCCTGTACCACCTGACACTCACCCTGTACCACCTGACACTCCCTCTGTACCACCTGACACTCACCCTGTACCACCTGACACTCCCCCTGTACCACCTGACACTCCCCCTGTACCACCTGACACTCCCCCTGTACCACCTGACACTCACCCTGTACCACCTGACACTCCCCCTGTACCACCTGACACTCCCCCTGTACCACCTGACACTCCCCCTGTACCACCTGACACTCCCCCTGTACCACCTGTACCACCTGACACTCCCCCTGTACCACCTGACACTCCCCCTGTACCACCTGACACTCCCCCTGTACCACCTGACACTCCCCCTGTACCACCTGTACCACCCTGACACTCACCCTGTACCACCTGACACTCACCCTGCACAGGCCCTGGACACAGATGTCGTTGGTGTCTGGACCACACGTGGTCCCGTCTATGACCCGGTCCCGTAGCTGGTAGTAGGCGGTGCTGCCCGCGACCCGGCAGAAGAGCTTACAGCGATCCTTCATCAGGACTGAAAACACGGAGTTTGCAGAAATTGAGAAAACATTCGATTTGAACTCTTCATCTCGATGTGGAAGCCTTACTTCCGCTGTACTTTGGAACCCAGCGAACGTTTGGCGGCAGCCCGTTGATGTTAAAATGTCTGCCGTCGAAGGCGCCGCACTGCTCTTCCCTAAAGTCCTTCTTCTGCCGCGAGCAGGGCTCGGAGTTACACGAGCGAAACTTCATCCGACGACCCACACAGTACATCCCTCCGTTTCTGGGCCTGAGCAGAGGGACCACACAAACCACTGAGATCCACCTCCAACGACATCTACAACATCCAGTAGCTCGCTAGCTCCTCTCAGGTAGCTCCCCAAAGCATTTAGAATTTAACAAATGATCTTGAATGATTACATGTCTGTTATAAGTGTAAACATAGGGTCATCCAGTATAATGGTATTTTTATGTGACTCTGAGGAGCACAGGGACTGGCCTCCTGCTGGGACTCTGAGGAGCACAGGGACTGGCCTCCTGCTGGGACTCTGAGGAGCACAGGGACTGGCCTCCTGCTGGGACTCGGAGGAGCACAGGGACTGGACTCCTGCTGGGACTCTGAGGAGCACAGGGACTGGCCTCCTGCTGGGACTCTGAGGAGCACAGGGACTGGCCTCCTGCTGGGACTCTGAGGAGCACAGGGACTGGCCTCCTGCTGGGACTCGGAGGAGCACAGGGACTGGACTCCTGCTGGGACTCTGAGGAGCACAGGGACTGGCCTCCTGCTGGGACTCTGAGGAGCACAGGGACTGGCCTCCTGCTGGGACTCTGAGGAGCACAGGGACTGGACTCCTGTTAGTGCCCAGAGTCAGAACTAAACATGGGGAGGCTGCTTTTCAGATTCATGCTGCTAAAATCTGGAACAGTCTTCCTGAAGATGTGAGACAGGCCTCCTCTCTGACAATGTTTAAAACCAGGTTAAAGACAGTTCTGTTTAGCTGTGCTACAACTGAGGGATTTTGTATTTTTATCTTTCTTTTTAATGTTCTGTGATTATTTATGATTTTAATCCTTTCTTGTTTTGAGTTGCCTTGTGTATGAATTGTGCTATACAGATAAACTTGCCTTGCCTTCTGTGTTTTGTCGTTGTTATCATTTGTTTTTTTTACTACGACTACAAAAAGGAGTAGCTCTTTTGTCGCATAAAAGTAGCTCTCTGATTGAAAAAGGCTGGAGACCCCTGATCGACCCTAACCCAGACAAACAGTGTGTTAACCTTCTGTCTGTTGCACCATCTGAGCGTTTCTATCCGTGCCAAATGTGACATGTACATTTCTCCATCAGAGATCCATAAAATCTCTCCTTGTCTTTATCTTCAGGGAGAGGGAAGTATAAAGTCTGCTCACACTGGTCTGTTGCAGTCCCGGGAGGCCACCTTGATGCCTCCTCCACATGTGCGAGAACACATTCCAAACGGACTCCACACCCCCCATGCTCCCTCCACCGGGCTGGCATCCTGCTCTTTGGCCACGCACAGCCCATGCTTGCAATGCTACAGGGTTAAAGGACACAAAACAGTCAGTTAAAGGGAAAATACAAACACAGACCACTACAAATCCATGCAACTGACACTTTCCAGTTCCATTAGAAATAACAAACAGGAATTTATTCCTATTTTTTCAGGATAAGCAGGATCACGTTTTCATAATTCACATTTCAAAACACATAATAATGATAACGTTAAAGCGGCGCACTCATGGAAAGCATATTAGCAACATAAAGGTTAGATTGTTCAGTAGTAGGGCCACTTTAGTTCCCCGAGAACATTCTAAAACAGTTTTTCAGGCTTTGACCTTTAAAATCGGATAAGATACACTCATATGTATTAACATCTTATCTATACTGGCGCCATTTTGGGAAACAATTGAAAGAAAATGACATTATATACAAAAAAAGTGAACGGTTGAATTCCAAAAGTTCAGAGCTTCACAACGAGGTGCAGCATGACTGTATTGGTGGAGCTGAAGTTGGCTGGATGACTCTGTGAATGTGCCTCAGTGGATAGTTTGTATTAGAAAGGCAGAGGGACACATAAATGCAACAGTGGGCCGCATTTGGCCCCCGGGCCTTGGTTTGGACATGACTGCTTTGGGCCAACATTAAACTGATACTTTCACAAATGTTATTGATTATATTCATTTGAGCAGAAATGTGACGTTCATAAGTATTTATAATGAACATGCCTTCTGATAATTTGATCCTAGTTTGTGGTGTTCGGTGCGATCGTTCCACAGAAGTGGAACTGTGCAGCCAGGATCCTGACGAGGAGGCGCAAGTATGACCACATCACCCCTGTCCTCCAGTCTCTTCATTGGCTGCCCATCCATTACAGAATCCACTATAAAATCTGCCTCCTCACATACCAATGTGTCCATGGAACAGCCCCGACATACCTCACTGAGCTAGTTACTCCACACACCACCACAAGGCGCGTACGGTCCACTTCCACCCATACTCTTCACCAGCCCGTGACCAAGCTCTCCACAATGGGAGATAGGGCCTTTAAGGCAGTTGCCCCTAGACTCTGGAACGCCCTGCCAGAGACCCTGAGGGCTCCCCAGAGTGTTGAGGCCTTTAAAAAAGGCCTGAAAACACATTTATTTAAAAAGGCCTTTTAGTTTGTTTTTGCTCTTGTGCTTGCTTTGTTTTACTATGTCATGTTCATTTTGTTTTATCTGATTTTAATTTACCTGTTGTAGCACTTTGAGGTTTCTTTGAAATGTAAAGTGCAATATAAATAAAAATTATTATTATTATTATTATTAGAAGTGCATTAGTTCACGACATCAAACATTCTACACAACAACCAGGAACCTTTAATGTAGATTTTCTTTAACATTGTCTGCAATATATCTGTAAACTAAGTAAGTACACTCCAGTAAGGAAAAATGCGTATTAAAATACTACTTAAAATGATCTGCCAATAGATAATATTAAAACACTATATAAATAAAACTAGCCCCAAACGACTTGATTCTAGTATAAATTACATTTAAAGTATTATTCACTCATTTTGTCTCGCTTCCTTCATCATCGTGTGTGAATGGAAAATGATCTGATTTCTGAACATTGTAAAGTGCTTTGGGAGACTTTGGTCTGTAAAAATGCGCTATATAAATAAACATTACTTACTTTCTTATTTTCATATTTATTTCATATTTTATTCAAGAGATATTTTCAAGTGAAGTTCATTTAAAAACAGATAAAAAACACTACACTCTATAATGTACCTTCCCAGGAGCACAGTCAGTGCCGTCGGCCCACGGCATGTGCTGCGTCCTGCAGCCTCTCTGGACTCCCTCTGGACTCGTGCACCACAGACGCCGACACTGGGTCTGAGCAGGAGGAAAACACATCTAATACATCAGAAAGTCCAAGTGTCTCGGAAACAGTCGGAAACATATTGTGCTCACAAGGTTCCTTTTGAGCCATTGTTTAACTTTAATTTTAAACTTTATCTTTCTATGTCTCTATAAAAGTGTAGCATTGTTTATAGACCACATCATTTCTAAATCAGGAGAATTCAAAAATAGAAAAGCAGTGTTGTAATTGGCTCAGAGAGACTCACCATATATGGGCACACCTGTGTTCCTGGGCCGAATATTAATTCACATTGTTTGTTTACATTATAGGCTCCTCCAGGCAGCTGTGGCGAGAGACTGTAGGGCCTCGAGACCGGCTCATCCAGTAAACATTCACCGTATCCTGTGCTATTGACAAAAGAACAGATTTAAGACAAACAACAAGAAAACATGAAAAGCTTTAAAGGTGCTTTGTGTGTTTTTACAGTTAGTCCAAATGATAAAACAAATGTGACTTTTTAAAGAATATTCACCTCCACCATGTTTTTTAATTGTTTTCATAGGACTAGAATCTGATTTATAAATGTTCATGAGGCTGAAGCTCTACAGGTTAATGCTCCATCTTTAAATACAGAGGCTGATAAAGGAAAAAAAGGAGTTTGAGCTGGAGTTGGGGACCACTGTCAAAGACGGCTTTTTGTCCTGAGAAGAGGAATGCTAACTTTATGAAAAATGCTAATGAAGCATTTCGCCTGCTTCATTAGCATACTTCATGTTCTCCTACGCAGACACAGGGAGAACATGCAAACTCCACTCAAAAAGGGTCTGTTCCGACAGGGATTCGAACCCAGGACCTTCTTGCTGGGAAGCGAGAGTGCTAACCACTCACCCATCATGCCGCCAATGTATATCTGTATAGATGTATATGTATATGTATATATGTATATGTATATGTATATATGTATATGTATATATGTATATGTATATATATATGTATATGTGTATATGTATATATGTATATGTATACATGTATATGTATTTTTATGTATATATGTGTATGTATATATGTGTATGTATATATGTATATGTATATATGTATATATGTATATGTGTATATGTGTATATGTATATATGTATGTATATATATATATATATATATATATATATATATATATATATATATATATATATATGTATACATGTATATGTATACATGTATATGTATATATGTATATATGTATACATGTATATGTATATATGTATATGTATATATGTATATGTATACATGTACATATATACATATACATATATACATATACATGTATATATGTATACATGTATATGTATACATGTATATGTATACATGTATATGTATATATGTATATGTATATATGTATCAGACAAATGCCTTTAAACTCACTCCAGGAATTCTGTGATGAACTTCCTGCTGCACTTGGACCACATCCAGGGGTTGGTGTTGTAGTTCAGAGTCGGAGCCATGACGTGCTGCTGCACCTTCACTCCATCCTCTCTGCACTTGTTACTGTCGTCATGCGGCATGTTGAACCTGACACACACAACAAACAGACACACACACAGTGTTGAACCTGACACACACAACAAACAGACACACACACAGTGTTGAACCTGACACACACAACAAACAGACACACGCACAGTGTTGAACCTGACACACACAACAAACAGACACACACACAGTGTTGAACCTGAGACACACAACAGACACACACAGTGTTGAACCTGAGACACACAACACACACAGTGTTGAACCTGAGACACACAACACACACACGGTGATGAACTGAGACACACAACACACACAGTGTTGAACCTGAGACACACAACACACACACACAGTGTTGAACCTGAGACATACAACACACAGACACACACACACAGTGTTGAACCTGAGACACAACACACACAGTGTTGAACTGAGACACACAACACAGACACACACACACAGTGTTGAACCTGAGACACACAACACAGACACACACAGTGTCGAGGGCAGCACCAGCTGCTTCTCAGGCTCCAAAGGTGAAAAAAAGAAAGAAAGTATCATCAAAAACATGTAAATATGTAAAACATGTAAATATATGTAAATACATGTAAATATATGTAGATCTATGTAAATATATGTAATTATGTGTAAAAGTATGTAAAAGTAAAACTCAGTTTGTGATAAAAGCCAAGAGTAAAAATTAGTTTTTAGACAAGATTTAAAAACCTTCACTGAAGCAAAGGCCTGGTCTGGTCTGGTCTGGTCTGGTCTGGTCTAGCCTGGAACAGTCTGGTATGGTCTGGCCTGGTCTGGATCAAGAATCTTAGAATCTCATCCGAATCCTAAAATTAACCCTGAATATAAAAACAAACCTTTCACTTCCAATAAGCGTGACTTAGTAGTCAGGTGGTTGTGTAGTCGTGTGGTTGTGTAGTTGTGTAGTCAGGTGGTTGTGTAGTTAGGTGGTTGTGTAGTCGTGTAGTCGTGTGGTTGTGTAGTTTATGTAGTTGTGTAACCTCAGTGCAGTGTGTGTGAAGGCTCCTAAATCTCCTGCAGGGCCCTGGACCCGCGGGTTGGTGCCGGTCCGGGCCCCGGAGAGGCCCCGGAGAGGCCTCTGCTCAGGTACCACACGACACTAGGCACAGCCTGACGCACACTTTAACAATCCTCTCTTGTGTTGAGTCTGTAACAGTCTCGGGCACCGCCGAACTTTGCTCAGATTTACTTTGTTTAGGAAGAAAGCTCCAGGACTAATCCCTTTCTCCAAAAACACAGAAAAGTGTTTTAAATAAAATATAGATTTGATTATATCGAAATAGAAACAACAGTAAACACGTGAGCGTCATCCTTTGGCTCCTGTCGAACTGTGTGCTTTTCTGATCTGCTATTGAGGAATTGCCAACTTCGTTAAGTCCTCGAGGCGACTGTGTTGTGGTTTACGGCCGCACAAAAATATATTTCATAGAAAAAGGAGCCAAAAATGTTGTGGTGTTTCTTATGAAACTGTGTGTATTTGCTCCAATAAATAAAAAAATAATAACAAAAATCAATTAAAGAAATGAAATCAATAATAATGATAACGTAAAATCTATAAAATTAATCAATACAAAAACTAAAAAAAATAATATAAAAAATAAATAAAATAAATTGGTTATTAATAAAGGGCGACAGTAGCTCAGTTGGTAGAGCATGACTGCTGTCGTTGTGTCCTTGGGCAAGACACTTAACCCCACTTTGCCCAAAGCCCCCACTGAAAGATCAAGGCTATGCTCACACTCAGAGAGCAGCCGTCCTCCTGTGGACTCACCACCTGCAGAGGGTCAGTGAGGGGCTGGTGCTATGAGACTTGGGTGGCATCTCTGACTGCCACCCCCCTGACCCAGAAATGGATTAAAGGGTAGAAAATGGATGGATGGATGGTTATTAATAAAATGAGTCCAGGTCTGAGCGGTGATTGGCTGATTTAGGAGCAATCCACTATGAATCACTTACTTTTGAATGGAAATAAAAAACGAGAGAGACAGCTAATATAATTTCCAGCACTGCCTCGCCCTCGTCGTTGGTGCTGTGTTAGTTACTCACACGTGGCCGAGCTCGTGGGCGATGGTGAAGGCCGTGCTCAGACCGTTGTCTTCACTGATGCTGCAGCTTCTGTACGGGTCACACACCGTTCCCAGCTCCGCCAGTCCTGAAACACCGTCACAATTACACACTTTTTACTTTCACATCATCAGAACCACGGACAGAACCTCACACAGACCTAACGTGTCGCATTTATCTCTGGCTCTGCAGATGTCCTGCCTGCTCAAGAGTAAAACACAGCCGTTTAGCGACCCTCGGGAACGGGAGATTTTAGTGAAAAAGGGGCGTTTCTTCACCTGGTGATGAGGATGGCGGTGTCGTGGTGCGACTGATGGTTGTCGTCCAGAATGTTTTGACTCTGCTGCCAAATGCAAAAGTTTTTTAAAGTGGTTTGTGCATTGAAAGAAATGACTGGACCCTCCTGAAAAACAGAACAAAAACACACATGTGATTTATATGGAGGGTACACAGCTGCGAGTATGAATAGATTTACCACAAATTCTGGACTATAAGCTAATTTTAAAACTAATTTTGAAGGCTGCGGCTTATAGTGAGGTGCGGCTTATTTATTAGTATTTTTTCTGTGGCAGTTGACCAAGAGAATTGAGGAGTAGTGCAAAGAGGTCCATTCAAATTATACGAGTAAAAAAAAAAAATTCTAAGACGTCGATGCATGAATAACAAATAATTTGTTTTTTGTTTTGTTTTTTAATTATAGGTCTTTAGTAAATGGTTGATGGTTTTCAGTTTTCATGGTCTAAAGTGCCTAAAACCAAGTGAAAGGGTTTAATAGTTCTTTGGTTCTTTGTAACTCACTTCTTACTTTTACTCTTATCTCTCACAGTAATAGAAAGGAATGTTTTTCGGAGGCATTTTTTTACATTATGTGAGACGGGTGCGGCTTATAATCCAGTGCGGCTTGTACAAGAACAAAATTCTAATTCTTTCTAAAAATTATGGCTTGAGGCTTATAATCAGGTGCGGCTTATGCAGGGACAAAATTTTTATTCTTTCTTAAAAATTATGGCCAGAGGCTTATAATCAGGTCCGGCTTATACAGGGACAAACTTCATATTCTTTCAAAAAATTATGGGTTGAGGTTTATAATCCAATGCGGCTTGTACAGGAACAACATTCTAATTCTTTCTTAAAAATAATGGTTTGAGGCTTATAATCCAGTGCGGCTTGTACAGGGAAAAAAATTAAAATTCTTTCTAAAAATTATGGTTTGAGGCTTATAATCTAGTGTGGTTTATACAGGGACAAACTTCATATTCTTTCAAAAAATTATGGCCTGAGACTTATAATCAGGTCTGGTTTATACAGGGACAAACTTCATATTCTTTCTAAAAATTATGACCAAAGGCTTATAATCCAGCGCGGTTTATACAGGGACAAACTTCAAATTCGTTCTTAAAAATTATGACCAAAGGCTTAAAATACAGAGCGGCTTATACAAGAACCAAATTCTAATTCTTTCTAAAAAATATGGCTTAAGGCTTATAATCAGGTGTGGCTTATAGTCCGGAGAATACCGCAACACATTGAAAATTACCTGTTCGTGGTTAATAATGACCAGCTTCACAATCACTATGTTAATGACATTTCCGATGCTGGGGTCTTTGTAAATGGAAGAAACCTGTATTCAAAATAAAGGGACTTAAGTTTATATTGTATTTTGTATATTATTCAAAATTAACAACTCATTTCTCGGGCTCAGAAAAAAGCAGACGTGTGAGAACTTACAATGGACATCAGCGTCAGAATGTAATGCTGTAAATTGCTGCCATGATGCTCCACCATTTTGCTGTCGGCGACCAGCATGACTTCAACAAAGCGCGGGTAGGAGAGGAAGCGCTTTGATCTCCTGTGAGGTCCCGAGTCAGCGCTGCTATCATTTGAGGCTCTAGAACTGCTGGAATTGCTGCTTTCTGGAGTAGGAAGTACTTGGTTGGCTATTCCAGATCTCAATAACTCAATGTCTGTGAAGATATCGGAGCTGCCCATAGGTGCCGGGACTCGAACCACCGGCCTTCTTCTCTGTGTGTGCCTTTTATGTCGCTGTTTATGCTCTAAAAATAAAGAAGCCACAACAGAAGCACTCAATGCGAACAGGAGCAGGCGTATATGACATTTGGAAACAGGTGGGATTCTGTTGTGTGAGGTATGGGAAGCACTTTGGGGTATGGAGTTCAGGCGAAGGAAAACTGGCATCCGGCCATAGAAAAATGAACAATAAACTCCAGTGGCAGAAGAAGAGAGAGATTTGACCTGCATTTATTATCTGCCACAGAAGAGATCTCTACCTGCATCAAAAGGCTTTCCAGCACAAAACACTCAGAATACTTCCCTGAACTCATGCAGGATTTATCTTCTGCTCCAGTGTCTATGTAATTCTACAAAACCCAGGTATAAAACATTTCAGTATTGATAGAAATGTTTCTTTGTGCCTAAGCCTAACCCTGCTCCAGTGTCTATACATAAAGGTAATACCACTAACTAACCCCAAGAATACATGTATGAAAGAATTGATGATTGAAATGTCTCTTTGTGCCCTTTTCCATCTGAATGACGCTCTTATCAAAGGAGAGGAAGTCCAGAGTCAACAGGACATGAGGGATGTAAACTGAGATGGGATGATACAAGACTGAACTTCCCAAAGTCCTTTCCTGTGACAGCTCTCAGAGATCCGCTCAGATCTGTGTGACACCGACGCTGCCTTCTTTGCTACACTCTCTACACTCGGAGGCCGTCGTGAGGTCTCTGAGAATCCCAGCCTCACACCACAAGACGTTGGTAAATGTGCAACAGTGGTGTGTTTGTACCTGCAGTGTCACACGTGGAGTCGTCCTCAAAGATGTCTGTTTTGGAAGCGCTCTTCTTATAAACAATGTGAGGTTTTATGTGTTCCTCTTCATAGTGCTGCCCTTGGTAACTGTGTAAGGGCTCCACAAAATACTCCCCCTCTGGAGACCGAAACGTGCCCATCTGAGCACGCACAAACACATGCAGTTGTCAAGTTATGTCCTCATTCATAACTCATTCACACGTTCATTTGTCAGGTGTGTTGCATTAATACACTACACATTCTACACATGTTCATATACTCATGGGTTGTGTAGTGATTTGTGTATGGCCCTGTGGAGAGCGCCTGGGGGCGGGGCCTAGGCGCTATGACGTGCGTCTACTGATACGCGCGCTGTAAACGTGCGTAAACACGTCACCGGCTTCTCTACGGACCACAGACTGATGCGAAAAGGAGAGATAGATGTTCATTAAAAGAGTGGGGAAGCAGGGGAGTTAAGAGCATTCTTCCACCGGTGAACAATGATGGCACTAGATTAACTTCAGACACAAGTGGTGCCTGTCTCCCATGGACTTTAATGGCAAATAACTTCACTGAACTGTCTAGAACCGCTCTACAATTATGTAAAAGAACACATAACTTTGCAAAACACTGCTGTTACATTAGTGCCATGACGTGTGCGTGGACTCGGAGGTGATGAAGAGATAAAGCCGTGCGTAAAACTCACCAATCCGGAGCAAAGACTGATGACTGCGGCGTGTTCCGAGTTGACATATCCTTTATAGAAGCAGTGCCTGAGCTCGCTGTCATCCTCCTCCTGCCCATCAGGTGGAAACTCTGTCATGTTGTCTCTGCGGTGTAGTCCTAGTACTGTCACAGTGTAGAGAGGAGCGAGGAATCCCGAGTGTCGTGTGAGGTTCAAGTGGTAGCTCTGTCCAAACGCATGGATTCTGTAGTGGATGTTTGCTGAGGCCCAGGGATCCTGCCAATTCCCAGTGTTTTCGTCCAAACTTCGTCTTTTCCTCTTGAAATGCAAAGATGTGGGAAACTTGTCGCCGGCTTCATTCACGCGCACGGGAGTTACAATGTCGTACACACTGGAGTCTTTCCCTACAGGGCACAGTGAGAAACAAGTGTTAACACATGTACACTGTGTCATTTAAAAGGAGGGGGCACAGCTCTATCACTTTGTCAGGAGGTTTTATTTCTTGGGGTTAAAACTACAAAAGTCGCGGTGGCCGCATAAAAATCCATTCATTTGTAAATTCCGTTGTGCAGTAAAGTATCTGAAGAAGAAGAGAGAAAACGTGGGCGTTCAACCGCGTATACTGTACCTGTACTCTTCCAAATAACTTTGTCCCTGGACGCGACTACATTGAATAACTCAGGGAACAGCAGCAGCCCCAGAGCCCAGAGCGGCACATGCATGATTGTTCACGGGCAGAATGTAGTCCTCTGTAGATCTGCTCTCGGTCCGGTGGCTCCGGGCTGTGGGCCCTCTGTCCCTCTGCCACATCCAAATGTGTTGGTCCAAATATGTTATCCTCGACTCTGGGTTAGTTTCTTATTGGCCGCTGGAACACGGAGACCCGGGCGTACATGCATTCTGCACAGGGACTGGGCTCCGGCTCTAGCGCCTGCGATGGGCTCCGTCTGCCCGTGCACCAGCTCTGCACAGGAGGGGCGGGCCTAGTGTCCTGGGGCCCCTCCCGTTCGTTACTGAGGAGAGGGGTCATTTATGTCCACTACTAGGTACACTATATTATAGGCATGTCCAAACTCAGGCCCGAGGGCCAATTGCGACCCTAAGTGTCATTATATTCCTTATAACTTCCTTCAGCTAAACGCAGACAAAACTGAAATGATTGTCTTTGGTCCCCAGAAACAAAGAGAGAGCGTCATCTGTCATCTACAGTCTCTCTCCCTAAAACCTTCAAACAAGGTCAGAAATCTAGGGGTAATACTGGACTCAGACTTAAATTTTAATAGCCACATCAAATCAGTAACATCAGCAGCTTTTTACCATCTAAAAAACATTGCCAGGATCAAAAACATAGTGTCTAAAGCAGACTTGGAGATTCTTATCCATGCATTTGTCTCCAGTAGGTTAGACTACTGCAATGGCCTGCTCACAGGTCTGTCCAAACAGGCTGTAAAACAGCTGCAGTACATTCAAAATGCAGAAGCTCGAGTCCTGACTAGAACCAGGAAGTACGACCATATTAGTCCGGTCCTCAGGTCTCTGCACTGGCTTCCTGTGGCTCAGAGAATAGACTTTAAAACAGCTCTACTTGTTACAAGTCTCTCCATGGCCTCGCACCAAAATATATTAGTGACATGTTAGTCCCATATGAACCAGCCCGGACTCTGAGGAGCACAGGGACTGGACTCCTGCTGGGACTCTGAGGAGCACAGGGACTGGACTCCTGCTGGGACTCTGAGGAGCACAGGGACTGGACTCCTGTTAGTGCCCAGAGTCAGAACTAAACATGGGGAGGCTGCTTTTCAGATTCATGCCGCTAAAATCTGGAACATTCTTCCTGAGGATGTGAGACAGGCCTCCTCTCTGACTATGTTTAAAACCAAGTTAAAAACTGTGCTGTTTAGCTGTGCATACAACTGAGGGATTTTATATTTTTATCTTTCTTTTTAATGTTCTGTGATTATTTATGATTTTAATGCTTTCTTGTTTTGTTCAGCACTTTGAGTTGCCTTGTGTATGAATTGTGCTATACAAATAAACTTGCCTTGCCTTGCCTTGCCTATATGTGGTCCTCTGCCTTGCTAAACCCAAATTAGTTTTTGAGATTATAAACACAAGTTCACTGTGTCATCCATCCAACTTCAGCTCAGCCAATATAGACATGTTGTAAGTTGTTCTAAAGCCCAGTACGTCTGGAATTCAGACGTACATATATATAATAGATTAATATAATTTTTATCTGGTGAACTAAAGTGGCCCCCGTACTAAAATGTTTGGACACCCCTGAACTAATAGGTAATTGTAGCGTATCACACAAGAGAGCGATGACAGAGACAGAAAGAGGCAAAATGTAGAGATTCCCTCAAAGAGTGAAGTCCTGTTTATAGAGAACCAAAACCTGCGAAACATTGGTCCCAAGGTAACAATACTAACAAGTCGCTTACATAATTATTATCCTACAGTGTCCTACAGATAGTTTACTGTGATGGTAACTATGAACACATGAAACTTGTGTCTTTGTGTGATTAGTTTTTGCTTTAGTAATGTACGTGTACAATACAACCATAAGTCCACTGCTAGGCATTCAGAATATAGAGCTTTTTACATTTAAGCTTGTCTGATTTATTGAAGTAGAATGCATGCCAACTGAAGAATGTCTCTACTTTTTATTATTGTAATCTTTTGTGTGATTTTAAGGATTATAATGTGTTTAATGACCTTTGTGATTTAAATTGTTTTTTAAATGGTGATTTTGGTGTTTGTTTTATGTGATGACGTGTGCCTTGAGTGGGGTGGACTGTGAAGCGTCTTACCCTGTAGGAAACAGGGATCTATAGATAAAGATGTACTGATTGATGCCTGGTCAAAGCTTGCACACAGTTTTTAGACCTACTTTATAAATATAATTCACTAATTCACAAGCATCACTGCTGGTGAGGCTGGTGCTACAGAACATGAGCATATTTCAGTGTCGGCTGTAGATGCAGAGTACAAGTCTGAGGCTTAGAGAAAACCACACACATCTGGGAATGGATATGTGCGGAGCAGAAGAGACACTTAAGTGATAAACTACTGTGTATGACTGAGGACACAGCAGCTTTACCTGGTTTCTCAGAGGTCTCACATCCCAGCACTAACCAGGCCGTGCCCTGCTTATCTAATATTTGCCTTTGTGTTTGAATAGGACACAGTAGTGCAGTAAACACATCAGAGTGTAGCCTTGGACTGATTTCCATCCATTGTCCCAGAGTCACAAACACTCACTCACTCACCCTGAACTATCGTACAGGTTCTTAGTGGTAGAAACCCATGGATCTATTATAATAACTGGATAGGGTATTGTTAGCTTACAGCTGTCCCACCCATGGGCACAGGGGGCGCTGTGGTACTGCAGACTAAATTCACGTGGGCTACCCAGAAAAAAGTCCCGTTGAACTCAATATATATGAAAACAGCTCGACCTCAGCTGACAGAGAATCTGACAGAGAACCTGACAGAGAACCTGACAGAGAACCTGACAGAGAACCTGACAGAGAACCTGACAGAGAACCTACAGAGAACCTGACAGAGAACCTATAGCTTTCATAAAGGTCGGATTTTGCGTGGATTTTACTGTCCCTTGTTATCCTGCACTTTTTTTCTTCTTAAATCTTTAGCTTTTAAAAAAAATCCACACTTTATTGCCACAAACTCTGCTCGTTTCCCTCCCGCTCTGACTCCGCTCTGCTGCTGCTCTGATTGTAAGTAAGTAAGTAAGCTTTATTTATATACCGCCTTTCACAGACCAGAGTCTCAAAGCGGTTTACAATTGTTATTTTTTGGGCACTTGTCTCTCACTCCACACAGAGATGGGAGCGGGGTCGCCGAACAGGAGGCACATGCCAGAACTATTGTACATATTTTTAGTGGTAGGGGAAACCAGAGTACCCGGAGGAAACCTACGCAGACACGGGGAGAACATGCAAACTCCACTCAGAAAGGCCCTGGTCCGGCCGGGATTCGAACCCAGGACCTTCTTGCTGAGAGGCGAAAGTGCTATCCACTCAGCCACCGTGCCGCGTGGCCGAGCCCCTCAGTGCACGTGCATGAGACCCACACACGCGTATTTGGCGCAAAGCATCATGGGAGCTCGTATACTGCGCAGAACCGGGAGGACCAGACGATGCCCAAACAAAGCCGAGTTCCGCAAATTTTTGGGTCTCCCTGAAGTCCCCAGTCCGCTACTCATGCTTTTGGAGAGATTTCCCCATGTCTTTCAAAAGTGATCTTACGGTTCTTTTACCGGTTGTTCATGGTCTTTCTTGGGCCTTTTTTTCAGAACTCCTATTCAAACTAAAACCCTGCTCTCCTCCTGGAAGACAAACTGTGTGTACCATCCAGTGTGGGCGGGTCCGGGCTCAAAAATGTCCAAAATGACGTGCGCTGACATGCTGTAATACCACCCCGGGCCTGTGGGGGTGGACACGTCTTTACATGATGGTCCAAAAGTGGCTCTTGGTCCAAAGCTCCGTTCCACATGTGTCAATGCTGAGGGAGTGTTTCATTTTGGACCAGTCTAGTTTGGTCGCTGTGGAACTAACACATGCACAGATCGGAGATAGGTGTGATACGTTCACAGTGTTCACAGTCTAATGCATCAGACAAATGAACCAGTGAACAAACAGCAGGTAAAGGGTGATTCTTTAGTTTCTGTAGTTTTTTAAGTCGACTTTCTCTGCTCTCAGTTTAAAGGACTTGACCCAAGTGTAACAGCTGGACACAGGACCTTCCAACAAACCGAATGCTTTCCAGATTTCTTCTCTCTCTCGGAGGAATCGTAACAAACTCATCAGGCAGAGATAAGGAGAATCAGGGTTCATCAGGGTTCACCAAGAGCACGGGTCTTCACACTACACACAAAACTTCTGTAGAATTCAAAACCACCAATGGGGGCTGGTTTGGTTTCATACAAGTCCACCTGCAGGTCAGAGTGGAGTTTGCATGTTCTCCCCGTGTCTGCATAGGCTTCCTCCAGTCTCCCCCATCACTAAAAACCTGTACAATAAGTAAAATCCTCCAAATCTGGTCCCGATCCATCAACAACTGGAGATAGGCGCTGTTACTACGGCGACTGCTGCTCCTGACAAAAGCCTTAGTGGCGTCCGGGTCAAATGTAGACGACATATTTCACTACAAAAGTTCACATTTACATTTTTCCAAGTGAGCTACTGTGGTCACTTTAGCAAATATTTATGTACGCACAAGCATATTATTCTTACACGCTGCAGAAACTCTGGTATCCGAGAACAAGTAAAGTGTTCTTGAAAATAAATTGCACATTAACTTCTCTAGAATTCCAGGAGTTCATTCTTAACTTGATGTTGCAGTGAACTCCATGTGTCGATAACTGCAAAAGCCAAATGACTGAATCAAGTTTGACTGTGATTTCAACTTATACATGAACAGAAAGGCACCGTCCGGACTGGGATTTGAACTCAGAACCTTCTTGCTGAGTAGTGAAGGTGCTACCCACTCAGCCACCCTGCTTAAACGATACCGGATATTTTTAATACTGTCCATGTCCAAAATATCAAAAGTGCAGAGACAGCTCAGCCCAAAGAAGGCCCTGAGTGGTTTAGTCAAGCTTTAAATAAACTAACAATAAATGAGAAATATTTACAAACTGAGAAAAATGATTTAAAACTCTTTAAAATAACTAAGAGAATAAGTTTGGGTTTACAGTGTG